TATATATGTTGCAACTACTCAACTATTATTTTAGCTTGAAAGTAGCATAGATAACGCATAAATATTTGTATGGGCATTCAGTGTTCCAGTAAACTGTTATTTAGAAAAATGGCCAGATTTAGTTTCAGGGCTGTAGTTTGCTGACCCTTCCACTAGAAGATAAATAGCCTGTGTGGATTTCATTTGCATTTGTTAAAAAGTCAGCAAATAACCAAGTGATTACCATTTATAAAACACTATGATTTCATTTAGAAAATACTTCTAGGGTTTTAAAAAAGAAACTTTAAATGGGATAGTGGTGCACACCTGTAATTTCAGTGACTTGGGAGACTGAGGTAGGAAGATCAAAAGTTCAAGTCCAGCCTCAGCAATTTAGTAAGACCCTCAGCAACTTAGTGAGACACTGTCTCAAAATAAAAAGGGCTGGAAATGCAGCTCCATGGTAAAGCACCCCTGTGTTCAGTCCCCAGTACCCTCCCCTTCCCCCTCCCAAAAAAATGGTAAACTCTAGGCCAGACATGGTGGCACATGCCTACAATCCCAGCTATATAAGAGAATGAGGTGGGAGGATCACAAGTTAAAGGCCAGCCTTAGCAACTTAGTAAGATAAAAAATAGAAATAAAACTTTTATTTTAGAAAATGGCTAGGGATGCAACTCAGAGGTAGAAACCTTGCATAGCATTTGTGAGGACCTGAGTTCAGTCCCCCTGTACTTCAAATCAGTCAGTTAATAAGCTTCAGCTCTCTGGAAAATTCCATCATGCTTGATATCATATAAGTGATTACTGAGTGAAGAGTCTGTTACATGTTAACTAAGATTCTTGAATTAAAGACCCAGCCTTTGAAAATACCAGGCTTTTGCCATATGGTTTTTAAAATGTAGCTGTGTAGTTTGTATAATGTTCAGAATGTTACCCTCTTAATGACATGTTTTTACAGGTCTGAAAAGGAACCACAGTTTAAGTTTATCTACTTCAACCATATGAATTTAGCAGAGAAAAGTACAATTCACATGAGGAAAACACCCAGTGTGTCGCTTACGTCTGTTCATCCAGATTTGATGAAGATTCTAGGTGACATCAACAGTGATTTTACTAGGTATTCATGACAACTTCTCAAATAGGTATCCCTTTGTTAAAGGATATTAAAGGAGTCATCTTCAAAACTGAGTAGCCCAAAGCCCCTTCATAGAGGCCAGGTCTGACCACCTTTATGGGCACCCCTTCTGAATGGGTCCATAAGCCCTGTCCATTCACATGGGCCTTCCTGAACTTCTTAAGTGACTATTTAGTATCCAGTTTCTTGTTTTGAAATGCTTTTTTTTTCCCACAGTGTAGCTAAGTGTATAATAAAATAGTACATTCTGAAACTCTTGCCTTACAGAGCAGATGAAGATGAAGAAATCATCGTGAAAGCCATGAGTGATTATTGGGTTGTTGGGAAAAAGTCTGATCAGCGGGAGCTGTATGTTATTTTGAATCAAAAAAATGCAAACCTGATCGAAGTCAATGGTAAATTGAATTTGGTATTTGACCGTAATTTTAATGCTACTGATATTTGGAAATTCTCTTCAATGTATTAGGAAACATGGTATATAGAGCAAATGATGATCATTAAGATTTTAGGCAGATTTCTCCATTTTATGTTTCTGTGTCCTGTGACCAGCAAGCTTAATCGAGACTAAAAGGAAATTATTTTCTACAGTGCTAAAATAACCCATGGCTTTATGTATTGTGTGTAAAAATGTCTCTTTTTATCAAAAAGATGAAAACACATCTTTTATATGCAGAGCTGCTGGATTCATATGATAGTCCCAGCTGTCTCCACCCATAGGCAGGATGAGAATTCTCCACCTTGCAACCAGAGTTGTCGGTCTGGTCCTTTGTGCTGAATGAGTCAGTGGGGTTCTGACAGCTGCTGTCCTGGGGAAAGGGCAGTGTCCCCTTCACTAGCCTCTCTGCTACTCTGCCTTACACCTGGAGCTGGGGCAAGCAGCAGTGCAGGTGGGGGGAAACGCACCCCCAGTACAAACTACAAGGAAAGTTAGATGCAAGGTTTTTAAAAATATATCTTCTAAGGCCTGTGAAATTTTTCTTCTATACTAAAACCTGTATTCATTGTGTATTAAAAACATAGTACAAGCCTGACTTAAAATGGGAATTCAGTAAAGATCATGATACCTCTATGGAGCCCTTGATCTACAATTCAAGGTTGCAACCAGAGTATTTGTGTTGTTGCATCAGATTCTGAAATTGACTGTATCTTGGATGTTGTAACCCCAACCTGTGGGTGTCTCAGGTACTATTTGCCCTGGGTTTAAGCTTTTTCAGGCCCAGAGAAGCAGGATTTCAGTATGTTGGGAAGTATTGAGGTCTCATGGGTTTGTTAGGTATGGAGTCTGTTCCCTTTTTCTTGGTTTATTACTTTTTGTTTGGGCTTCTGGAATTTAAAGTCAAAATTAATGCAGACATTTATTTATTCCCAGTTTTATTTCAGAAGAATTTAAGGCACTAACACGTAGCATACAACCTTTTAAGTAAGAACCCCTATTCCTTATGCACTGTTTTCTGTTCTTTTTTGCAGAAGAGGTAAAGAAACTTTGTGCCACGCAGTTCAACAACATCTTCTTCTTGGATTGACTGATAATGGCTCATGGAAAGCATCTTTTAAGAAACTCAGCAAACACTTTGTTTACCATTGCAAGTTATTGGTCATATTATTGACTGGATTAATGACAATAGTAAAGCAATACTTGCTTTGAAGAAACAAATTTCTACTCAGTCTGATGATCCCCTGAGGTTTTTAGATTTTAAATATTTATGCGGAATTACTTAAAGGTAGTTGGCTATATCTCTATCATTCCATTCTTTTGACATGTGAATATTTTACTGGAAAATAAGACTAATAAATTGTTAAAGTTTTTAAAATTCTGGTTTTGCGCTGAGGCACTCTTCTGTTGCTAGATGAAAGCATTACCAGTGGTTCCTGGGACGTGCCCTGGCGATTTAAAAGGTCATTTGATGCTTTCACAGCTATATTCCATTCCCTAGCTGTGAAACCCAAATAAGGATGTATTTGCCCAAAGTAATTGCTAGACTTGCCCTTTTTTTTTTTTTGGTACTGAAGATTGAACCCAGGGGTGCTCTACCACTGAGCCACACCCCCAGTCCTTTTTATTGTTTGAGACAGGGTCTCACTAAGTTACTTAGGCCATCACTAAGTCTCTGAGGCTGGCCTTGAATTTATAATCCTCTTGCCTCAGCTTCTTGAGCCACTGGGATTACAGCATGCACCACACACCTGGCTAGACTTGGCTTTTATCCTGAGTACTATTGTGATTTTTTAGACTCATTTAATACAGAGAGCTTAATGAAAGTGCACAATGTGTTCTAAACAGAAAGCACTCCTCATTGTCATATGGAACTCCTGAGGAGCCATCCCAGGGAGCCACAATTCTGTCCTCCTTGAATGAGATGAAATTCAGCTGTCTTAGTTATGCTGATTTTTATTATCTGGTCAGCCCAGGGTCTAGGTAAAAACTAGCTAAATGGTCCAAAAAACATGATATTTCACTAGTCCTAAAGTTTGCTTCCCATATTCCCTATCACTTAACGTGTATGAGCCTGTTAGGAGGAAATGGCTTTGTTGATTCACGGTACTTTCATTGTCACTTGGTCCTAAATAATTCACAGTGTCCATTGTGATTTCCTCATCACCCTTGTGTTACTTCAGATTGTGGCTTTTGTGTTTATGGTGTGCTGTGTGCACACTGTGCAGTCATTTGCAGCTAGAATAGATGTGCTATACACATCATGTGGAATTGCTCTACTTCACAACCTAAAAAGTGGTCAGTGTGTCAAGTGTTAATTCTCTATTGCATTCTGGTTCCTAGCTCTGTGCTAATTCAGGGTTTATAGTTTAGTTGCTCTCGTCATCTGATCCCCATTTTCCTGCTTTCTGCTGTCAAGACGGCACTTCTCCCTGGGGCTCCCTCAGCTCTGCAAGGCTAATGTGTAGGTATGATGTTGCCTTTGGGTTGTGATAGTGCTTGCTAGTGCAGTCACCTTGAACAGATCAGCCTGGCGTATCTTTGTGTGTGTCTTTATTTTCATTCTTTCTGTGTGGCTCTAAGATAGTTCCCTTGTGAAGTGATGTTGAGGTGAATTTTTATTTTTCAGTGCCATTAAATTACCTCTGGGCTCGTTTGGGGGAGCAGCACGAGTGGGTTTAGTCTGTTTCCTTTGGCTGTTGGGGCATCAGCACTTTTCTGTTTCCCATCTTTCTGTTAAAATTGATGGTTTCCTGTATTCCTTTTGCTAATTTGGGTAGCTTTAAATTGGTGGTGACCCTTAAATTTTAACACAAATTATTGACTATAAAACTTTCAACAACCATCTATTGAACACCTGGCTCCTCCTCTCACTGCTGCCTGGACTCACTGCTGTGTGGTGGTTTTCAAATGCGATAGAGAACTGTGGGCATTTGCAGAAACGGGCCAGGGGAGAAGCCACAGGAAGTGGAACCTGAAGAACTCCAGGTGGTTTTGGGGATAGAGAATGTACCCAGTGTGGGAAACAAGAGTGTCTGAAGAAATGTTTTGAATAATTTCTTCCATTCTCCACTGTCTTCTTTTTTTTTTTTTTTTAATTTTTAATATTTATTTTTTAGTTTTCAGGGGACACAACATCTTTGTTTGCATGTGGTGCTGAGGATCGAACCCAGACCGCACACATGCCAGGCGAGCACGCTACCGCTTGAGCCACATCCCCAGCCGCTCCTCACTGTCTTCTCATTCATTTTATCAGATTCTAACTTCATCATCATGGCATTAATTTTGATTTTTTAGACGTGTATTTAAAACATGTTCATTAATATGCGTGTGTGTGTTGGATATTCATTCAACTCAATTTCCAAAATGCAGGCCTTTCAGTGATCCAGCTGCAAAAAGCTGGGTGCAGTGGGTCAAGATAGGAGTGTTCCAGAACACCAAGAGCAGAAGTAAACTGCAAACAACTTTATTGTGCAGGACATTTATCACAGTTCCTGCTGTCCTGAGCTGCTCTGTGTCCTTGCAGTCTACCCTCAACAGTACGTGCCTTTACTTTCTCTTCTTCTTACTCGGGGTGGACTTGCTGGCCTGGGACATAGCTGTATCCTCTTTGGGAGGGCTTTGTGTGAGGACTGAGGACAGGGCGTCCCCTGGCTCCTTGATCACAGGGATGTCCATCTCAGTATCTTGTTTCTTGGCCTCTTCCTTCCTTAAGATATTCAGCCTAAAAAAGCAAACACAGGAAGGTAGATTTTTTTCCTTTGAATTTTTTTTATTTATTCTGGTATTAGGGATTGAATCCAGGGGGCTTACCCACTGAGCCATATCCCCAACCCTTTTTTATATTTTACTTTGAGACAGGGTCTTGCTGAGTTGCTTGGGGCCTCACTAAGTTGTTGAGGCTGGCTTTGAACTTGCTATTCTCCTGCCTCAGCCTCCTGAGCCACTGGGATTACAGGCATGTGGCACCGTGCCCAATAGTTCTTATTCTGTGTATCAAGTAAAGTTGTCCATATCTGTATTTCAGCAGTGCCTGTGACCAAAACTAAACTGCCATCACCTTGCCTGAGTTAGTAATAAGTAAAGCCATAGCTAGACAGCCCAGGTAGAATGCTGTCGATCTGACCTGAGGTGTCAACCTCTTTTTTCGGGGTGACCTTGTGACAGTCCTCATGTGTTCCTGCCCTCTAGCATACAGCAATGCTTTCTCTAGTGAGTGGAGACACACATCACCAAGGGCAGGTGTCTGCACTGCTAAAGGACCATGCAGAGCTGAGCCTCAGCAGTGATACTGCAGTGAGTGCAGCATCCCGCCTTGCTTCCTGGACTCCTGGCCTTCAGCTGTCTTCCTGGCCCCAGCGGTCCTGTGAGGTATTACCATGACCCCACCTGACAAGCGAGGACAGGAGGCTTGGAGTCGTGCACAGAGCGGTGGGGGGGCTAGGGTCTGAACCATGGCTTCCTGTTGCCTCTCACACAGATGTCAGTTCCACTTAGACACCCAGGAAAACAAGCAGCTCACAGTGAGCCCCAAGCCCCCCAGACCAGGCGGGGACACCCCTTGACAATTCTGACACCACATTTTCTCTTCACCTCACCAACAGTCCAACACCACTGATATAAAATTCTTACACCATCTACTCACATTAGCACAGACCTCACAAGTGACGGGAGTTCAGTCCCACGAGGCCACCCCCATCCAGATGCCAGTCACAGTTCAGGACTCAGATACCTCTGACCAACCAGCTATGAATCAGAAGTGCCCACAACGCCCCCTTCAGGTTCTATAATATGCTAGAATAGCTCACAGCCTCTAGCAAAAAACTTTGCTTACATTTACTGGTTTACTTTAAGAGATACTACAAAGAATAAAAATGAACAGCAGCGAGCAGTGGTGCTCGACTGTAATTCCAACTACCAAAGGCTGAGGCGAGAGGATCACAAATTCTAGGCCCACCTGGGTAACTAAGTGAGACCTTGTCTCAAAAAATAGAAAAGGGCTAGGGGTGTAGCTCCATGGGAGAGTACACCTGGGTTCAATCCCCAGGACTACAAAAGGAAAAAAAAGGAATAAAAATGAACAGCCGAACAGCCAGATGAAGAGGGATGTACGGTCAAGTCCAGAAGAGTCCCCTGAGCACAAGAACTTCTGTCCCTGCAGACTTACCTTCCCATCACATGGATATGTTCAGCCCCAGAAACTAAATCCCACCCATGATTTGGTGTTTCTGTAGAGGTTCCATTATGTAGGCATGACTAACAGAACTTAGTCCCCAGCCTCCCCACCTGCCCAGAGACAAGGGCGAAGCTGGAAGTTCTCCAGTCACAGGTGGTTCCTTGGGCAACAAAGTTATCCAGGGCCCCAGCCACAGTCATCTCATTAATATATAAAAACGTGCCTCCAGAGATGCCAGGATCTGGTAGGTCCTGGGGTCAGGAGCAGATGCTAGCCCCTCTATATAAACAAAAGATGCTCCCAGCCCTCTGGAAGAACCGGCAGGAGCAGAGGCCAGATATTTTTTTTATGCTCTGGACAACCTTGGGACGTTGTGTACTTGGCAGTGCAAGCATGTGCTCCCGATGCTCCTGGTAGCTACAAAGGATGGGGAAGAAAGCTGAGTTCGTGCCAGAGGAGGGCTGGGGCCCTGCCATACCTTGCTTCTAGCTCTTCACTCTCCATCTTCTTCTGTTGAGCCATGGCTGCATCCCGCAACCGGTTTTCCTTTACTTTTTCCTTGAGCAGCTCCTCGTGCTTGTACGCCTGGAAGAGCGTATTCACAAAGAAGACGTACATGTTATTGACCCACGTGTTGAGCTTCTCCTTCTGGTCATTCTTGGGTTTTTCATTTTTCTCTGGAATAAAGTTTAATTAAAATGAGCATTAATACAATCCTGCAGCCTGGAGTCTCTTACTCTAATTCTGCCCTTTCCTGTGATGGCCTCTGTGTCCCCATCCTGTCAGAGGGGGCGAGGAAACTGCAGAATGCTTCAGTGACCACCTGAGACAAAGCAAGTTCTCTGCAGACCCTGGCTGCTTGTCAGCACTGCCTTTGAACCTCCTGGTACCTGTTGTTTTCTCCTCAATAGTTGATGTTTTCCATGTTTTGGTGGGGAACCCTCCTGGCTCTTGCTTATGTTGTCTTCAGAGAGATTTAAATCTCTGTTGAATAACAAAGGTAAGGAGACTCTTGACTTGAGTTCTCGATACTCCACTATGGAGAATGGGGATGGGCAGTGGTGTTGGAACAGGTGCTGTGGAAGGGAGTGTGACCAATCCACTCCACCAACCAGCCTCCCAGTCCAGGAGCCTCTATGGTATGCTCCAAGTACAAGGACATCAGGAAGATTCATGATCCCAGTGCCAGATTTTAGAGACTAATGGAGACCTGTGTGTGCTTCCCACATGAACCCCAGGCTGGAGAACACATAACCTGCGGCAGGCCTCGGGCTTGGGTAAGAGTTGTGCATGGAGGAATGAGGTAGGAAGTCAAGAAAACAAGCCCTAACCTGTCAAGGTTCTTGCTTCTTCTGAAGCAGCACTGTGTAGCACAGACTAGGGCCACGTGAGTTAGGCTCAAGGCCCCTCTGTGCCACGTACTCGCTGCACAACCTTGGCCAGTTAATACTCTCTCTGCCAGTTTCCTCATCTACAAAAGGGGCACCGTACTGGTACCTGCCTCACAGGTATTGTGAAAATCCGATGCATTAGCTTGCAAGCTGAGCACCACACACACAGGAAGTACATGGTAATGCCTGTCATGGGCATTACCCGTGGACCCAAAGGACCAGTGTTATAACCCGAGGGAGCAGGTAGGATGGAATGGACTGATAGATTTGCAGGAAATTTAAGTCTTTTATAAAAGATAGTTCATTGAGTAAAATTCTTAACTATTGATGTCAAGCTTGCTCATTGCAGAAAATACTAGATTTGTTTAAAAAACGTATACTGGGCACCATTTATATAGCAGACCCTGTTCCAAGAGCTGTAAGAAACAACAAAAATATGTACCTCTAGCATAACCAAAACATGAACCCATTTTGTCCCATGGTCCTAGATGTGGAACACCTATAAAAACCTTAGTATACAATATGTAATTATATAGTTACAAAAGAACATAACAGGCTGGGCACCATGGCGCATGCCTGTAATCCCAGCAGCTCGGGAAGCTGAGGCAGGAGGACCTCAAGTTCAAAGCGAGGTGCTAAACAACTCAGTGAGGCCCTGTTTCTAAATAAAATACAAAATAGGGCTGGGGATGTGGCTCAGCGGTCAAGTGCCCCTGAGTTCAATCCCTAGTATCCCCCCACCAAAAAAAGTCTAGCAGTAGGAATATAATACATGTATATAGTGGTATATAGTAGGAATATATGTGGACATGATTATAATTTCAATATATATATACACATAATCTCTAGATTATGATTTCTGACCGATTTTAATGCACTTGTGTCAATTTCATTGAAATATTCACAGAATTGAAAACCTGGGAATTAATTAATGGGCTAATGACATTCTAGTGTACATCCTACTAGTAGTTATCAGAGAAGATAGATAACAAATATGGGGTCATGTGTCCTGTTTTTCTGTCAACACTGTATTCTGTAAGAGTTTTAATGGCTGTAAATCATTGTGATGTGCATGGAAACCACGGGAGCTGTGCCGTACTCTACTCAGCCAAGGGCTTTTCCATTTTCTGAGCAATGCTGCAGTGAACACCCTCATCCGCACAGCTTTGCCCACACCTCTGAACATTCCCGGGGTAAATCCCCAGAAGCAGAGTTGCTGGGTGAAACAGAATGCTCGCATTTTAACCTTTGGTGCATGTTTCCAGACTGCCTTTTAGAAAGATTGAGCCATTTTATCATCCACCCCACTTTCAGTGCATGAAACTATTTTTCCCTTACATCACTGCCATAAGCACCATTTATTTTTGATAGCACTTTATTGTTTTAATTTGCATTTTCTTAATATCAGTGAAGTTCTTTTTATGTTTATGGGTCACTTATGTTTTTGAAGAGTGGCTTTTTCCTATTTTTTTCTTATTTTAAGGATATTCCCTTAATGTTTTCTCTTTGATTTTTCATTGTGTTCTTGGCTTCTTTTGCCAAAAACTGGTTTTGATTTCTATCAGTATTTTCTCTGTATTTTACCTTAGTTTTTATACGTAAGCCTTTATCAACACTAAGAATATAACATACACTTTTACATGCTCTCAATTCTATGGTTCCAGTCTTTACATTTACCTTTTAATCCACCCAAATATTTCCCCTAAATTTAGCCAACTGCAGCTGCATTTATTAGATAGTCCATTTTTCCCCTACCAAGGAGGGATAGCTACTATGTACTGAATGCCCATCTGTGTTTATAATAATCAGCCTATTTTTTTTTTTTTTTTTTTTGCAGAACCAGTTTACTTACTGAGGCTTTACATTTTTAGTATATTTTAATAAATAGAACTAAAATTATCCTCTTGATTTTCTTTTTAATATACTTGTCTGTTTCTGACCATTATTTTTCCAGGATTATTTTGTCAAATTTGTAAAACTATTGGGATTAGAATTAGCTGGAATTGCAGTTAAGTCTCTAAGTTATTTTGGGGAGAATCTACATTGCTACAATACCAAGTCTTACCAGGTAGGTAATGTTTCCATTTATTCAAGATTTTTATAAGGTCTGTAAAGTTCAGTACTTTGGGGTACTAAAATTATAAATTGACAAATTTTAATATATATACTTATGATATAAATATACAATGTAGAATGCTTAATCAAGCTAATTAACATACCTATCACCTCAAACATACACATTCATGGTAAGAACATTTGAAGTTTACTCACAGAAATTTTGAAATACATTATTAACTATAGTCACTATTCCCAATCCTTGATAATCACCATTCTACTCTCAGCTTCTGAGTTCAGTTGTCCTAGGTTGTGAGATCATTCACCATTTGGCTTTCTGTGCCTTGCCTATTTCATTTAGCACAACATCCTCCAGGTTCATCCATATTGTCACCAATGACAGAATTTATTTTTAAGGCTGAATAGTATTCCATGTGTATATCTTTTTTTACTTATCTACTCATCCATTGATGGACATGTAGGTTGATTCCATATCTTGACTTTTGTGAACAGTGCTGTGATGGACATGGAAGTGCATGTCTCTTCCAACATCATCATTTCAAATCCTTTATCTATATAGCTCAAGGTGGTATTGTTATGGTTTGAATCTGGAATGTCTCCCAAAGGCTCAATGTGTTGAAGGTTCAGTCCCCAGTGGGCAATGTTCAAAGGTGGCTCATCAATGGGTTAATCCATTGAGGGATTTCTAACTGAGTGGACAAATGGGAATTAGTGGAAATTGTAGGAGGTGGGGCCTGGTTGGAGGGAGTGGGTCCTTAGGGACTATATCTTTGTCCCCCACCCCTTCTTCTTCCCAGCTGTCATGAAGTGGCCAGAATTCCTGCACCAAGCCTTTCTGCCATGATGTTCTGCCTCACCTCAAGCTTAAGCAATGGAGCCAGCCACCCACGGACCAGAGCCTCTGAAACCATGAGCCGAAGCAAATCTTTCCTTTTGTTGTTATTCTCAGGTATTTTGTCAAGTGATCAAAAGCTAACACAATGTTAATTCTTTTAGTTTTATTTATTTATTTTTTTTAGTTGTAGATGGCCACAATACCTTTATTTTATCTTATTTATGTGGTGCTGAGAATCAAACCCAGTGCCTCACAGAAGCTAGGCAAGCGCTCTACCACTGAGTTACACCTCAACCCCTACTTTCAGCTTTTTGAGGAACCTCTATACAGTCTTCTGCAATGGCTAGACATTCCCACCAACAGTGTACAGAGGCCCCCCTTTTCCTCCACATCCTCACCAACACTTACTTTCATCTTTTTGGTAATAGCCAGTCAGTCTGACAGATGTGAGGTGATATCTTATTGTAGTTTAGTTCGCATGATTAGTGATGTTGAACATTTTTTTTCATGTTGGTCATTTGCATGTCATCGTTGGAGAAATGTCTATTCTAGTACTTTGCCCATCTTTAAGTCACAGTATTTTCTTACTCTTGAGTTCCTCAGGTATATTCTGGGTGTTACCCAGTTCTGAGATGTCCTGCTTGCAAATATTTTCTCCCAATCCATAGTTTGTAGCTTTGCTTTGCTCATTGTTTCCTCTGCTGTGCATAAACTTCTCAGCTTGGTGTAATCCATTCGTCTATTTTTGGCTTTGCTATTTTTTTAATATATATTTCACAAATTCTTTTTGTTTATTCCTAGATACTTTATAGTTTGTTATCATCAACTGAAACTTCTTTTCCTCTTCATAGTTTTTCTTTCTCCATATTTTCTGATTTTGCCGGGGGTGGGAATACCAGGGATTGAACTCGGGAGCCCTCGACCACTGAGCCACATCCCCAGTGACAGTTTTCATCTCTTTTGCAGGCTTCTTTCATTTAGAGACAGTTGCTTAGCACTTCACTTTTGCTGAGGCTGACTTTGAACTTGTGATCCTCCTGCCACAGCATCCCAAGTAGCTGGGATTACAGGTACAGTCACTCTTAATATTTCAAGTGGCTTTCCAGTTGATGTTATGTATTTATTCATTAATACTTAGCAAGTTTTTATTGAATTCCTAGAAGCACACTTAGCATTGCTAGGCTGTGGGAATGCAGCAGTGATTGACAGCACTCCACTCTCAGAGGGCAGGACATTTCCATTCCAGGAGCAAGGAGAGGACTGAGGGACAGATGTTTCAGGCACTGACACTGCAAAGATGAGACTAAGGCAGAGGAAGGAAGCCGGGGACACCTGCCCTAATGAAGTGGAGCATTCCAGGTGCCCCGCAGTCCTTAGTGCAGCATTTGCTACCATCCTTTGCTCATGTCCTCTGATGTCCAGAGGAGGGGCTTGCAAGAGCAATAGTACTGGAATTCTTGAGTCAACTCCATCTGAAGACTAAAGTAAAATCCCAAGCTCATTTTCTCTCTGCTAGGAACTTAAGAAAAACATTTTTTTGGTATTTAAAACAAACTTTCCCTTTCTATTTCTCTTAAGGCAGTCTGATCTTGTTTATGTCTCACTTGCTCCCTTTGCCAGATGTCCTTGGGTTTGCTAATTTGCCTTCCTCTCTGTCTGTCTCTCTCCCTTTCCTGCCCTCCCCACAAGGACTTTTTAGTTGTCCTGGGTCAGGTTTACAGATGTCCTTTGAACATATCAGTCCTGTCTTTTCATTTTGAGAAAATGTTCAGGAAGTATCAATTTTCATATTTAATCTATTGATTTTGTGTTCTTATAGGGAGTCCTGTGACATTAGGACTTATTTGCCTTTTTAAATCTGTTTTCTTGAAGTCTTTTAGAATTCTCCCTTTCCCTTTCTATTTATCTTAAGGCAGTCTCTCTTTTTGTTTACTTTTTTCCTTCTAGTTTGGTCTTTTAAGAATGTTTTTCTTTTATTTCTAAATTCTTTCTTGAGCTGTTTTCTCATCTGAGGTTTTCTAATTCTGATTAATTATCCTGTCATCTCTTCTATCACATTCTCAATTTATTTGGGCTCATGTTACAATATTTGTGACAGTTTTCATCTCTTTTGCAGGCTTCTTTCAGGCTTTGGTTCTCCGTGGCAGTATTCTGCTTCTTATTCTTTTTTTCTTGTAATAATTTCATTTTAGACAAGACCATACCCTATTCTTTTCTACAGAAAAGTAGGTATCTGGGGCTGGGGTTGTGGCTCAGTGGTAGACGCTTGCCTAGCATGTGTGAAGTCTTGGGTTCAATTCTCAGCACCACATACAAATAAATCAAAAATAAAGATCCATCAACAGCTAAAATACATACACAGAGAGAGAGAGAAAGAGAGAGAAACACACACACTGACACACATATATTTTAAAAATACTATCCTCTCTTGTGGATTTTTTTTTTTTTAAGAAAGAAAAGTAGGTATCTGAACTTTAGGGCTTAGGTGGATGACGCACAACAGTTTTTCTAGCCTCAGGATTCTAGAACTCCCCCTTCTGTTCTTTCAGTGACTTCCCAATTCCTTTTCATTGGATCCTTCTTTGCCCTTCTGCTCCAGGCTTTTCAGTGTGAGTTCTACCCAGCACTGTCTCCTCGGGCCTAGGTTTTCCTGAAGGGAGTTTGGATGGTGAGTTCCTGGGGCTCCGCAGCCCTCATTTGAGCACTGGAGCTCCCTGGTCCCCTGGAGCATACACATGCTCTCCCCCAGGCGGCTCTGCCAGGCTTGCAGAGTTCCTGCTGGGAGATCTGGATCCTCACATTCTCAGGTCTGGAAGATGCTCTGATTGCTTCTGTGTCTTATATCTGTTCTTTTCCTCTTGCGTCCATTTTTGCATTCTGAGGTCACTCAAGTTATGTAGCTAGTGATTTATCCCTTTCTACTCAAATTTTGACTTTCATGTTAACACCTTATCACAAAATAAGATTCTACTATAGTTTATGCTCTTTTGGTTTTGCATTCTAATTGTGCTTGCTTCATGTGGGGATCTAGAAATATGGAAAAAAAAAAACACCCACGTGCCACCCTCATCTTCCCAGAATCCCCACTCTAAGTGGTTTTCATGTCACCCTTTTTCCCTGTTGAGAACAATGGTTACTGTTTTCATTTTTTAATCTTCATTGAGTTTTTATAACTTGATTATGCTAATTTTTAAAAATATATTTTTTAGATGTTGATGGACCTTTATTTTATTCATTTATTTATATGCGGTGCTGAGAATCAAACCCAGTGCTTCACACATGCAAGGCAAGTGCTTTACCCCTGAGCCACAATCCCAGCCCTGATTATGCTAATTTTGTTAAATGACCTGGAAGGCTTATTTTATGCTGTTATGTTTTGATTTTTTTAAAAAAGATCTAAGACTAATTCTTATTGTTTCCTTAAATTTTGAATGAACTTGCTCATAAAAGTTTTGACAGTTTTTCCTCATGATTCAGGTTTTCTCCATTTCTTGTGTCTACTTTTGTTAACATCTTCCTATAAAATAATTTCTGGGTATTAGCTTGGAGTTGAACATAGGACTCTTTTACCATAAAGCCTTACTTGTGACTATCTACTTTCTCCTTCCTACTTAGTGCAGTTTGTGAAGCCCTAATCTGAAAATCTGAAATCCAAAATGCTCCAAAATCTAGAACTTTCCGAGTGCTGACCCCACAAGTAGAAAATTCATACCTGACCTTACGACGCATTGTCAAACACAGATGCACTAAAAATATTGTATAAGTGACATTCAGGCATCTGTATAAGGTGTATGTGAAACATAAATGAGTTTCATGTTTAGACCTGTGTCTCTCCCAGAGATATCTCACTATGTACGTGCAGATATTCCAAAATCCAGCAAATCCAAGATCTGAAACCCATGGTCGTAATCACTTCAACTAAAGGAGCCTCAGCCTCTACATGCATTTTAACACCTCTGTTCAGACCACGAGGCTCAGGTTGTCTTATTTACCTTTTACTTGAAGGACAGGCATGTAGAATTCTAGGCCTACTACTTTTCTTTTGTTTCTAGTCTGTAATCTGTGAGTGTATCCTTTAGTACTAGGGATTGAACCCAGCAGCACTTGACTACTGAGCCACATCCACAATGCGAGACAGGGTCTCACTAAGTTGCTTAGGGCCTCACTAAGTTGCTGAGGCTGGCTTTAACTCATGATCCTCCTGCCTCAACCTCCCGAGCTGATGGGATTACAGGCATGGCCACCATGCTCAGCCTGTGAGTGTGTCTTGCCACTGCCTTCTTCCTGCTCTCTTAGTGTTTCACTATTTCTCCTTTCTGCTTTTTGGGGCTGAGTGTTTAGGTTATTGTTTTCTCGGTAAACTTAATACCGGTTTTTTCTGGTTGTAGTTTTGGCCATGTCCTATAGGTAATGTCTAAATTATTTTAATCTCCTAAGTGTTCTTAGAAATGCAATTTGAGGGTCAGGTGCGGTGGCGCACACCTGTAATACTAGTGGCTTGGGAGGCTGAGGCAGGAGGATCACAGGTTCAAAAGCCAGCCTCAGCAATTTAGTGAGACACTGTCTCTAAATAAAATATAAAAAAGGGGTAGGGATGTGGCTCAATGGTTAAGCACACCTGGGTTCTATTGCAGTACCAAAAAAAAAAATGCAATTTGATTTTCTTTTTTTTAATATTTTTTAGTTGTTGATGGACCTTTATTTTATTTATTTGTATGTGGTGCTGAGAATCGAACCCAGTACCTCATGCATGTTAGGCAAGCGCGTTACCACTGAGCCACAACCCCAGTCCCACAATTTGATTTTCTTTATAAATTATTTAAAATAATGGTGGATTTTTTTATAATTTTTAATTGTTGATGGACATTTATTTTGTTTACTTATTTATATGTGGTGCTGAGAATCAAACCCAGTGCCTCACACATGCCAGGCAAGTGCTCTACCCCTGAGCCACAACCCCAGCCCCTTTGGTGGATTTTGTTCTTTGATTTTTTGCCTTAAATTTTCAAGTGGTTAGATGATATTTTATATTTAAAGTCAACATACCTGGTCCTTTACTAAGAGCATCATCTTCTTCATCAATGTGTGGCAATCCATTATCTTCTTTGACATCTATCACTGCTTCTATATGTATTCCAGGCCCTGCATTTATATCAGACATCACATTTTGGGCTACAATTTAATAAGTTTTATGTTTGTGGAATTATTTTATGGTTCATGAATCACTTGATATCTTTTGCCAAAATAAATGGGATTTTTCTTTCTTTTCTTCTTTAGGGATTGAACCTGGGGTGCTTAACTACTGAGCCACATACCCAGCCCCCCCCCCCCCCCCCACTTTTTTTTGGAGACAGGATCTCACTAATTTGCTGAGGCTGTCTTTGAACTTGTGATCCTCCTCCTTCAGCCTCCTGGGCCACTGGCATGCACCAGTGCCCCCAGCTAAACAGCACTTTTCAAATTATTCACCTTGAAATTAAAGCCTTCCAGACTAGCTTTGTCAATCATTGTTATGTCCTTAGATGTGTTAGGCACATAAGAAGATCAGAGAACCCAAAACACAACCCTCTGGGCCTTCACGAGATGACTGGGACCACACAGGCATGGTAGAGTCACAAGAAGAACTTTTGGTGCCACCCTTCAGCCTCAGAGAGGCTACAGTTAAACTATTTAGATATCTGGGACAAAGTATTTGATAACATCTGTCTATAATCTGCTTAGTCTGAAGCACCATTAAGACAAGAGAGGTATGTGCCTCAGGAAATTCTCTCTTCTAGAGAACTATGATTATTCTCAAAAAAGTAACTCAAAAGAGATATCCCACTTTCTACCCTTCTTGTCTAGGCTAATTGGTGTAATTCCTAATTTCCCCATCCTTTTAAGTGATGTTGATTTTTTAATCACTTGGCAGATTTTAAAATCAGAAAATCATATTATTATATAGCAGTCCAGGTCAGAACAAGACTGGATATGAAGGAAGATTAATTCTTATGTTCGTTGTCATAGACACCTCCTAGCTGAAGGACAGTAAGTCACAGCCACCTGCATGCAAAAATCAGATGAAATGGGACTTTGAGAAAAGATGCCACATGGGCCAAGGGAAAAGCCTCGACAGCTGACAAAGTAGTAGCCATCGGCACAGTGGCTAGCAAACAGTAGGTGCTCAATCATTGCTAAAGGAACAACCAGAAAGATCCAGGGCAAGATCAAGGTATAGCTAGAACTAAAGATGAATCACCAGCTAATAACATCATTGGTGAAATACAGTAACTGGGGTTTCCTTTGTAGTTGTGTTGCTTTCATAGGAACTGTACGTCTTGAGGATGGCTTTAGGGACAGTCATGAGACTGGCTCTCTGCTAGGATGCTGATTACCATAGGAGAAAAACTGCACAGCCTTGCAGATTAGCCCCAGAGGAGAGGAAAACATAGAGTGAGGGTTGTGGAAGGAAGCCAGGGGAAGAGGGTTTCCTGAGAAAGCAGTTCACAGGAGGGCAGGGTTATGGGGCAACAGCGCAAAGTCACTGGTGAGGAAGGGGAGCGTTGGGTGTAGGGATGAGCCACGGGAGACACAGGCAGGCAAGCAGAGAAGCTGGGTGCAGCCTTTCCTCAGCAAAGGGAACAGAGAAAGCGAGAGACTGTGGAGGGCAGGCTGGATGACTGTGATCTCCTTCTCTACACGCTGCAGCGGGTGCTGAGCACGACCAGCTAGAGAGGGAGCGAGTGCCAGGAAGAGACAGTCCCTGCACAACAGATGCTCCAGGAGGAGGCATCCCAGGACAGAGCCTTGAAGAAGTCACCATTTGGTGGGTAGCTGACCACAGGAACCTAGGCCAGAGCCACTGAAAGCACCTGTGAGATGAGACAGAAAGTCCCCACCAACTGTGCTAAGATCCAGGCCCTGGGGGGTCCTAGTGAGGACAGGGATGAAGTTGGAAGCGATGGGCAGGAAGTGAGGAAGCATAGTCAGCAGGGGGAGAGCCCAGAGGTGCTTCCCTAGGGAAACCAGAAAGGAGGCCAGTGAGAGCAGGCTGGCACACAGACCAGGCCTCAAAAAAACAGGGAGGATGAGACTCTTGAGTAATAACAGGTGACTGGGGATATAGCCCAGGCAGGGCCCAGGTGAGGCAATCCAGCTGTTTAGTCCTGGTCCTGCCTGGAGAGGGAATGCCCATGGCCCTCGTAAGAGGGCTGGGAGCGGCTTACCAGCCTCCTTATATAAGAGAGAAACTTGTAAAGTTTAGCAGACTGGATGTAACTGATTAGCAGCATTTTATAAGTGTGAAAGTTCTCCAGTTAAGGGCTGCGGGTGTGGCTCAGTGATGGAGTGATTGCCTCACACATGTGAGGCCCTGGGTTCGATCCTCAGCACCACATAAAAATAAATAAACAAAATAAAGATATTGTGTCCATCTATAACTACAAAAAAATTTTTTTAAAGTTCTCCAGTTAAAATACTCACCATTCTGGGATAAGAAGGCCAGCCCTTTTCCTGAAGGTTTAAAATTCATTTTGGAACATTTGTCATCACTTAGAGACTTCTTGATCTTGGGCTTTTCCATTAAAACAACAACAACAACGACAAAGTGAAATATTACTTCTGCATCATCATGGACTATAAAACTAGTTTTCTACATCATAAGTAATCAGAAAATTCCTAATAGGGCCATTCTCAGCTAAATTTGACCTTTTTTGGAGGGTGGGGATACCAGGGACTGAATGCAGGGGCACTCAACCACTGAGCCCCATCCCTAGCTCTATTTTATATTTTATTTAGAGACAGGGTCTCACTGAGTTGCTTAGCTCCTCACTTTTGCTGAGGCTGGCTTTGAATTTGCAATCCTCCTGCCTCAGCCTCATCAGTGTGACCTTGGCATCACTTAGACCTCATCAGTATGAAGAAGGGTTGTGGTGACAGATGTACATTCTGGGGACAGGCTGCACAGTACAAACCCAGCTCCACCATTCACTGGTTACGAGATCATGGACATAATCTTTCAGTGCCACAGTCCTCTCCTGGAGATAAGACGACCTTTAAGGTCATTTGGGGCATTAAGTGAGCTGACACCTGGGAAGTGCTTGGCATCTGGTAAGGCCCCCATAAGCATGAGCTGCTGCCATTTGCTTGCTAGAATCTCCCTTTCCTCATCAGCAGGTGAGTGCTTGTGAGACAGGCGTTCTGTCCACTGCCGGCCACAGCTGTGTCAATGTGGCATGGTGGGCTGTAAATACAAACCTCTGATTTCCTTATTCTCATATCAGGGAAGAATCCTAACTTGCTTGAAGATGACTTGGTGTTGCTAAAGGTAACGACATCAGACTCGTGGCTCGTGACTACACTTGGACTCCTGTTGTGGATGCTCTAAGCAAGGACAAGCACAGAGGGTTTCCAGCTTCCAGGGAGATGCGTGCACACACGTTCACATGTGTTTTTCTAACAAGGTATAACTGGGTTCCCTCCCCTACTAGGCAACCACTGTTTTGCTTTCCATCACTACACATTGCTTTGTACTTTACAGAATTTTATATAATAGTCATCACACAGTGTCCATCCTTTTTGCCTGGATTCTTTCACCCAGCATAAATTATTTTGAGATTCATCTGTGTTGTTATTTTCTCACTAAGTCATGCCCCACTGGTCTGGATATAAAAATGTCTTTAGCTAGGTGGGCGATCTGAAGATTTTTGACTATTGAACTTGTTTTATGGCTACCTATTAGGTGTGAGGCAGTATCTTACTGTGGTTTTGACTGGGATTTCACTAATGATTAGCAATGTTGATCATCTTTTCATGTGTTTATTGGCTATTTTTTTTTTTTTTTTTTGGTAGCAAGGATTGAAGCCAGGGATGCTTAACCACTAAGCCACATCCCCAGCCTTTTTAAATTTTATTTTATTTATTTTTTTGTTTTTGAGACAGGACCTTGTTAAGTTGCTAAGGCTGGCTTTGAACTTGCAATCCTCCTGCCTTAGTTTCCTGAGCCACTGGGATTACAGGTGTGCACCACTCACCTGGCTATTTGTATACCTTCTGTGGAGAAATGCATATTCAAGTTCTCTGCCAATTTTTTTTTAACTGGGTGGGTTTTGTTGCTGTTGTTGTTTTTGCTATCGAGTTTTAGAAGTTTTCTGTATATTTCATATATGTTGTAACCTTTTTTTTTTTAAGTTGTAGATGGACACAATACCTTTATTTTATTTATTTATTTTTATGTGGTGCTGAGGATCAAACCCAGTGCCTCACACATGCTAGGCAAGTGCTCCATCCCTGAACCACAACCCCAGCCCCTGTGTTGTAACCTCTTAGAGGATATATGGCTTGTAAATACTGTCATCCCTTACCCATAGGCTAATAATGTCTGATGCACAGAATTTTTCAATGTACACAGTTTATAGGTTTTTATTTTTTAAGCAATCTAATAGTAGTGACCTTTGATACAGCATCTTGTCCTTTCATTTCATTCTGCATTTATGATTTCTTGCAGAGTAGGTCTCATCATAACTTACCCACCTCAACTTTTTTTTGTTTATCTGTGAATTTCTTAATTTCTTACTCACTTTTAAAGCGAGTGATATAAGAATTTTGGTTGGCAGATTTTTATTTTAATGTTTTGAATATATCAACCCACTGTCTTCTGGCCTCCAACTATCCTCGGGGACCTGTTTAGCATCTTTTGTGTACTCATATTTTTATGTCCCTTGATACCTTTGCTCTGGCACAAGCTTTCTGGTCTTTTAAACACTACATACACATGACTGATAATGACATCAGATTTCCCAATGTTATCTAATCAGTATGCATGCTGGCCTCCATTATGATACTTTCACTGCTGTGGCTAGGAGTCTCCTTCTTGGACCATTTCCAGGAAATACATTTTCCCTAACTTAAAAAAGCAAAACAAAGCAATATACACCTTTCAAAACGTGAAAAGGCATAAATTTTAAGTTTTAAATTATTTCCTAGAAGGGTTCAAATGCCCAAGATAGTTTTATTTTTTGATTTTTTTTAGTTGTAGATGGACACAATACCTTTATTATATTTATTTATTTTTATGTGATGCTAAGGATTGAACCCAGTGCCTCACACATGCTAGGCAAGCCATAGCCCAGTCCCCCAAGATAGTTTTGATGGAGGTTTAGCCATTCCAGAATAAAACCATTCCTTGTTTGTAAATTCTAAATTATGTTACCTGACTCATTACCATTTGAATACTTCCAATTTTGTTTCCAAACAGATCATCATATTGAGCATGTAAACAGGATTTATTCATTTGGTCAGGAACATAGCTGACTGCAAAGCATAAGAGAGCTTCAAAGAATTCCAGGAAAACCAGCTGAAATAGAAGAAAACATAGGGATGTCACTCATTCTGACACACCTAAAAGCAGACCAGAGATTGATTTGGGTGTTCATTTCTTATTCATTTTTCTGACATTGAAATATCCTTCTTTCTAATATTAATCTCTATTATTCTAACAATCAAAAATGTATATGTGGGCTGGGATTGTGGCTCAGAGGTAGAGCACTCGCCTGCCATGAGTGAGGAACTGGGTTCAATCCCCAGCACCACATAAAAATAAAATAAACATATTGTGTCCACCTATAACTAAAAAAATAAATATTAAAAAAATGTATATGTATATACACACAGACACACTGTTTCATATATTTGGGTTCAGATTCTTTCAATCAGATCTTGGTTCTTGGTGTCCAAGGCAGAACAAACACCATTTGTGACACATCTTTACAAACCTCAAGTTCTAAGTTGCTGTCGACCCCATCATGTATGAAAGGATTGTCCTCTGCTATTACTGCCACAAATCTGGTTGCAGTTAATTCTTTATTTATCATCCTAAAGTCCTATAAAAGCAAAAACCAACCACATCATAACTGTGCATAATTAATTATAAACAGGTATATATTTTAATGTCATGCACATGCTAGTGTTATATAACACTTTAAGAAAATATGCCAGAAATCAATATCTTAAAAACTATCATTGTGAAAAGCATTCTGGACTACCATTAGTATTTGCCTCTCTACCCCTTTTCTAATCTCTCTAAAACAACAAAGTATGATTTTTTCACACAGACACAGGACAGACAAAATGGAAGTTGGATGATCCAGGTTTAAAATATCAACACGTTCCATGGGCTGAGCGGGCTGAGCTGCTGGCCCTGGCAGAACAAGGCAAAGGCGCTCAGGGCGGGAGAGGCCAGTGTGCAGCTTGGGAAGGAGAGGTGCCACAGCAGCCCAGCTCAGGAAGTCGAGTGTGGCTGGTCCCCTCTCTACACTGAAGGTTTTCTCTCCATAAAAACTGGGTCAGAGAGAATTTGGGCAGAAAACACAGTGCTTTGCTCAAAAGATAGATTAAATGGGTCTTGATAAGGCCCTTCTCCCACACCCAGTTCTGCCCTTCACTCTGTCTTAAGGCCTGTGATAATCAGGCACCTGTGTCCCACACAGGAGTCAGGAGACATCTTTTGGAAAACTCCAAGAGAAAAGCTCCATCAGCATTCACAGTTTGCAGCAGGGCAGGTTCCTGGCTGATCCCTCTACAGTGAAACCTATTCTTTGACAAGTGCCACCTAATAGCTTTAGAGCGCTGCAGCCTTATATGTGTGTGACAGCCAAGGTTCACGACACATCTGAAGGAAAGGCTTACTGTAAACACCAAGGAACCAAACCAGACAGACAAAAAACAGCATTTGGAGGGAACAGAGGTATTCTGTAAGAACAGAGAAAAACCATTAAGCCTCCCCCCTTCAAATCATGTCTTCAGTGGGATAAGAGATATTATGTCCATATTAAATTTAAAAACCCTGAATTGCTAGAATACTAATTCATTATTCTGAAAATTAATCAAGGAAAAAAAATCAACCATTTCTCCCTCCCTTCCTGTATGGATTATATCTCAAGAGTACTCAAACAATGAAGTAAGTTCTTGAAGACTCACAGCTAATGAATGTACAAGAAATGACAGATTTGGAAAATTGCCATTGTATAGTCTCTTGTGAACTAATGGACATTAGTATGACCACTGGAGGCTGCAGAGCCCCTAGACAGGGTTTATGGGAAACATTATAATAGATGATCACACTGACACTGTATGACCCACTGATCAATCACAGCATCACTACAAGGAATCACTCTTGATGGGATGTAACAGGAAGGACACATACCACCTGTGGCTTGGTCACAAAATAAAAACCTGAATCTCATCAATCCCCTAATCCAGCCACTATCATGAGAGTGTGGGGAAAAGAAGAAGATGTCAGATGCCACCTCTAAGAGCCACACCATTCTCTTCAGAGACAGTCCACAGTGCCTTTGCCAGGAGTATGAACCCTTGCTTGCCGCTCTGTGAGTCCCCCCTCTGAAATCCTTCATGTGGGAGCGTGAGGGCAGATGGCTGCAGATCCCCATGGATCACTTGGGGATCACTTGAGCCCCATGGTCACTTGGGTCCCATGGAACCCCCTCTACCACAAAAACCAGGATGTCTGACTTAGTCTGCAAGGACAGATGACCAAGTTTCTTCAATAATAAATGACCATGAAGAAAGGGGAAGGTAGACAAACAGGTATATAATATTCTAGCCCCCAAATCATATACCCTTAAAAATTATTTTCCTACAGTAAGACACTAAGTAATTGTCAGTTTTTCATAATGCATAGCACTTTAAAAATGTTAAGCACTCTATCATTAGTGTTCAATTTTCCCATCATTTGCATTCCCAAAATTTCAAGTATTGTGGAATAAAACTACCGCTAGTATAAGAACATTGCATAAATAAAGTCTCACTATTTTTCAAATTAACTTTTAAAAATCACTTTTCTGATGAGCATTCTTTTTTTTCTTTTTGAGACAGGACTCGCTGTTGCCCACACTGCCTCCACCTCCCAAGTACCTGGGACCGCAGGCCATGGCACGGCACCCCACATGAACAAGTCCTCCTCCTGTCTTCCTTGAAAGGCAGGATTGCAGGAGTAAAGGTGCTGTCACCCAGGCCGTTCCCTCCCCTCACCTGTGGCACCATCCCTGTATCTGGGCTTCCCACCATCACAGACCCTTTACATGACTCTCTTCTGCCAAAGGCGACTCAGTAAACATTCAGTGACCATGAAAATCCATCCCAAATATTCACCTCATTACATATCACACCTAGAATACCTTTCCTTTAATTAATATAAAAATACCTATAAATAGAAAACCAACTTCAGAGACTTTGTTTTTCCTTATGGTACTGGGGATTTAACCCAGAGGCACTCTATCACTGAGCTACATTCCCAGCCCTTTTTAAATTTTTATTTTATTTTTATTAGACAGGGTCTTGCTGAGGTGCCCACAGTGGCCCTGAATTTGTGACCTCCTGCCTGAGCCTCCCAAGTCGCTGGGATTTACAGTGGTGTGCTACCATGCCAGGACCAGTTAAAGCCAGTTTCAAACCTAAGTGGTATTAAACTTACTCTCAACATCCAGAGGAAGTGTCTCATCTTCATTGTAAGCTCATTGGGTGGAGCTGCATTTGGTCTGCAATAAGCTATGTAAATCTCCCAGCACTTATCAATGTAATTCATTGAGTAGAGTGTCCTCTGTTGCTCACTGAACAAAGTGCCTAAAATAGAACATTCCGAAAATGATTATAGAATTAAATTGTGAAGAAATGATAGCAAATGTAATCCTATTTTTCTTTTTCTTTCTTTTTCTTTTTTTTTTTTTATACTGGGGATTATACCCATGGACACTTTACCACTGAGCTACATCCCCAGCCCTTTATATTTTTTTGAGATAAGGTCTCACTAAATTGCCCAGGCTGAACTCAAACTTTTGATCTCTGAGATCCTCCTGCCTCAGCCTCCTAAATTGCTGGGATTATAAGTATGCAACAGCACCTAGCCTGATCCTATTATTCTTATATTTACCTTTTACTTGGCAGGCATTTGGATGGATATTCTCAGTCATCAGTTTTGTGAAACACAAAAAGAGCGACGGACTTCTGCTTCTGTGATTAAAAATACCATAATTAGGCCTGGGGTTGTGACTCAGCTGTAGAGCACTTGCCTAGCATGTGCATAGCCCTTGGTTTGATCCTTAGCACCACATAAAAATAAATAAATAAAATAAAGGTATTGTGTCCAACTACAACTAAAAAATAAATATTTAAAAAAATACCATAATTACTCCTCGCCCCAGAAGCTAGAACTTAATTCTTTTCTGGATTGTGGGCAAGATTTAATACTTCTAAAAAATACAGTATAAATAGAAATGGGAGAAGGGGAAAATGTAAGTTTCAGTAGAAAAACTTGCCTGACGCCATTTAATCTGTGAGCCAGGTTAGCATAACTAGTAACAAGACACACTGACATCACACACTGCCTGTATGACATGATAGGAAGGGCAGTTCACTGCCACAGTGTTCTTCACCCAAATCAAGAGTAGATATCAGTGTAATCAAGAGAAGATATCAGATGCCAACCAAAACCATGGGACATTTTACCAAATAAACTGACCAGCATTTCTTAAAATGTGAAGGTTATGAAAGACAAAGAGTCCAAGAAAGTGTCATAGATTAGAAGAGTCTGAGAAGACATGACAGCAAAATGAATTGTGGGATCCAGGATTAGATCCTGAAACAGAAACAAGACAGGGGAAAAACTGGGGAAATCCTACTAGTATCTAGTTTAATTAATAATATTATAGCAACATTAATTCCTTACTTTTAATTTTTTTGGGGGGGGTACCAGAGATTAAACTCAGGGTCACTTGACCACTGAGCCAGCCACATCCTAGCCCTATGTTGTATTTTATTTAGAGACAGAGTCTCACCGAGTTGCTCAGTGCCTCACCATTGCTGAGGCTGGCTTTGAACTCGAGATCCTCCTGCCTCAGCCTCCAGAGCCACTGGGATTACAGCTGTACACCATTGCACCCAGTGATTCCTTACTTTTGATAAATGCATCATAACTACATAAGAGTCACCAGTAGGGGAATTTGAGTGAAGGATACACGGGAGCTCTACACACTACTTTGGCAACAACTCTGAAAACCTAAAATTATTTTTTAAGATAAAAAGTTAAAATATATATATATATAGTATGACTTTTGCTCTAAGACAGACAGGAAATTATGACCTAAGAAGTAAGAGTTAGTTGTGATTACTTCTGAATAGAATTCCAAGAGCTATTTGCAATATTAAACAACTCAGATATGAAGGGTTTTCAAAGCCTAATCTAATATCTTAGGGCTTTGTGGGTGATATTTGTGGAAAAATTTTGGTCCTAGTCCTGCATTTCAAAGATATGTAAAAACACTGATTAACAGAGACAAGAGGACAGCACTGTAATTACAGCACAGGTGGGCTCCGCGTCAGCCCCTCACAGGGATCCAAGAGTGGTACTTACTGAAAGTCTTTGTGATAAATGTGGTAAGCCAAGCGCAGCAGATAGTTCAAGAATGTTCTCAAAAGTATTGTTCTAAATGGAGAATGAATTTCTTCAACTGGTATATCACTGTTGGCTAAAATTTAAAAATTGGAAAGGATGTGTAACATATTCTAGAACCTTGAGCATTGAGAGCACTGACATCAAGGACACAGGTTAATTTCTGGAACTCCTTTCCCGACTTTTGCCTTCCCTACTCTCTCAACATTTCTGAACTCGTTTGCAAGTGGCAGTGTGATACACTGTCCTCTAAACCCAAAGAAGTAAAGGACCTTGAATACTCACCACTTAATATCCTGTCCATATCAGCAAGAGTTATATTGTGGTGATGAAATTTGCAATCTTTTAGAAATCTCCAGAAGTGAAGCTTTGTCATCAGAAATGTATTATCCAGAGAGTGATCACATCCTAGGCTACTGTAGAAGCTATAGATTCTTCTTAATTCTGTAATGTTTCTTAAGACAGCGAATTCTACCTGAAAAAAGTTGGCCATGTATCTTAATCCTGCTTCATAGGAGGAACAGTAAAAGACAAAGCACCTGTTTTCTAAATCAAATGAGGACAGTACATGTAAAGAAAGCAGGTACTTCTTACCTGGGGGAGCTCAATGTTTTATTCTGCCTGTCACCCCTAGTCAATAAAATACCATTTCTGAACAGTAAAAAAATCTGGAAAATGAAGTTCCTTTCACACTGCAATGTGATGGCATCCTGTCTCAATGGCAGCAATAAAATTCTATTGGTTTGATCCTTATCCCTCCTGAACATAGATGCAAAAATCCTTGTGACAAAATAATTGAATCCATATGTAAAACAAATAATACATCAACACCAAGTGGAGTTTATGCTGGCTGGGGGTGCAGGGATGGTTTGGACATTTGAAAAAACAATCAACAAAATTCACCATATTGGTACATTAAATAAGAAAAGCTTCATGATCATACCAGTTTATGCATTTGACAGAATGAACATCCATTCATGATAAAACCAGCAGCAACTTAGGAATAGAAGGGAACTCCTTAACCTGATAAACAGCATGTACCAAAGACATCTAGCTAACACAGTTAGGGATGAAGATATGCACTAAGCAATGTCCATGTTGATTGCTGTACTAACCTTTCTCTGTCCCCAGTTCACCTTTTAGTATTTTCCCAGGCCTCAGATGCCCTTATGCTCTCCTGAACTCCCCATCCACACAGCCTGACAGCCTGTATAGTGTCCCCCTCTTCAAAACCAGTTAGCCTGTGTCTCTCCCTCTTAAACATTCAGAGAATGTGAAGAATAGCATTTGGGGTCCCCAAGGAGAACCAAAAGCCCCCACCTGGATAGTGCATCAGGCATTGGTTACTCTTGTCATTAACTCCTGCTTTTTGAGATTCAATTCAATGCACAACACAGAATTTGTCTTCATGAAGCTTAAAATCCAGTAATAAACGCAAGACATGCACCTTACGCAATAAGGAGGTATAGCTGAGAGAACTGAACCAAGGTGAAGAGAAATCCTAAAGCAGCAGCTCCTTGGAGGAAGGTGCACTTGAACTGAACCTGGGAGAACAGAATGAGCACTAGAATTTCACAGAGCAGGCACCCCAAGGAGAGGCCGGGCCTGGAACAGACAGTGGCTGGGGTGGGGGGCTCCAGGAACACCAGGAGGGCTTGCAGTGAAGCAGTCATCCCCTTCTGCCCAGCCCATCCTGTGCAAAATGGGACAACCCCAGATCTGCCCAGAGGCTGCTGGGAGGATTCAGTGAATTGAAGGCATTTGGGACCGTGCCCAGAGCCAAGTGTGACTCTGCAGCAGCAAACCAGTGTTCTGTGGGTCATGGTGAGGAGGAGAGGACTGACAGAGGCAGGCTGGAAAGGGGCTGATGTCAGATCACGTGACAAAGGCAACCATTTGAGGGAGAACTGGTAGCTCAAAGGCTCAGAGGACCACGGCCTGTTTGCTTTAGCTTATTCTGGTCAAAAATAGAATAATCCAGAACCTCTACTCAGATACCCACCTTTTGACAGAATGCCAATAATAGATAATAAACACATATACTTGTGAAGAAAATCTTAAACCCAAATTGAGAGAGATTCTAAAAAATAACTAAGCAGTCCTCTTGAGAGGTCTCAAGGTCATGAAGACAATGGAAAATGAAGGAGCTGTCACAGGTTAGAGGGTTAAGGACACAGACAACCCAGTGCAACATGGGGTCAGGTTGAATGCCAGAACAGAAAGAGGGCATTAGGAGAAAAACTGGTAAAATTCTGCCCTAAAAGTTGGTAGTGGGGCAACAGGGTTGCTGTAATGCTCATTCCTGGGGTCTGTCCACTGTACCATGGTCATGCACGATGGTACATTAAGGGAAGCTGAGAGAAAGATATATGGAGACCACAATTTTTTCAACTCTCTGTAAGTCTAAAATCAGCTCACAATCAAAAGTAAAAAGTAAGTTATAGAAAATTCACTAAATTTCAATATGTCTATCATGAAATATTATAGTCATTAAAAACATTTAAATGTATTCCCCGAGTGTAGAATCACAGGATCCTTTACTTTCTGTGTCATATTTCCATAATGTTTGAATTTTTGGTAAGAGCATGTGTTCCCTTTGTGATTATGATATAGTCAAGATATTTTTAAATCTATAAGTTGTATAAGACCCACATATTTGACAGAACTCCAAAGTGTAAAATGGTATAATAATAACATATAAGAGATTTTATATATATTACATTATTATAATATAAGAGATTAGGGAGAGAATAATGTAAACAATATGATCACACCTTTCTTGGTAAATCAGTATATATTATTCACCTAAAAATTATATTGTAGGAGCACATCTTATGGCACTGAATAGCTAGCATTAAATTCCATGTGAAGACAAAGATTTTGTGAATGGAATGATTCTAGTTCTATCTATGAACATTAAAAATTGGAAAGAGGCAGCTCAGGAGGCTGAGATAGGAGGATCACAAGTTCAAAGCCAGCCTTAGCAACAGCAAGGTGCTAAGCAACTCAGTGAGACCCTGTCTCTAAATAAAATACAAAACAGGGCTGGGAATGTGGCTCAGTGGTCAAGTGCCCCTGAGTTCAAGCCCCAGTACCATCCCCCGCCAAAAAAAAAATTGGAAAGAAGGAGCTGGGCTTGGTGGTATATGCCTGTAATCTCAGTGACTTGGGAGGTTAAAGCAGGAGGATCACAAGTTCAAGGTTAGCCTCAGCAATTCAGCAAGACTCAGTCTCTAAAAAAATAAAAAGGGTTAGGGATTTAGCTCAGTGGTAAAGCATTCCTGGGTTCAGTCCCCAGTACACCCCCCAAAAAAATTTTGGGGGAAAGAGGGTCACAAGATTTTATTGGGATGGAAAGCCTCTTTTACTTTTTCCTTATCTGCTTTCTACATTTTCTACTTCTGAAATTAGGGAATGTGATGAAGACTCCTATTTTTTTTTAGTTGTTGATGGACCTTTATTTTATTTATTTTTATGTGGTGCTGAGGGTCAAACCCAGTGCCTCACCCATGCTAGGCAAGCGCTCTACCACTGAGCCACAACCCCAGTCTGAAGACTCATATTTTTAACACGAATCTTGCAGTAGAATTTTGATTCTGGGAGCCTGAGTTACAGTGATGGCCTTGGAACCCAAAATAGGAGGAAAGGAGATGGAGTGAGGCATCTTCCTGAGGCTCAGAGAACCAGGAGCCAGAGGAAGTAGTGATGAGGAAGAGGAAAGGGCAAAGACGCTTTGCAGCGCAGAGGCTGGCTGGTTCTTGAAGTAACATCTTCAACAAGAGTTTCTGGAGGAAACATGCCGGTCCCCAGTCTAAGCAGGGGCTGTGGTCTAACTGGTACCTGGTAGCTATAATTTTCCAGATAGTCATCTGTCTCTAAAGACTTCTCAATTTCCAGTGATTTCTAAGGGCCTGAAGTTCTCCTGAATCCCAAAAGTCTGCAATAATGTACAACAGAATTAGCATCCCACCGAGGGAGGTGGCTACAGTCTTGGCCTTCAAACTGACCTGAGTGTGGGGGTGATGTGACTTTCAGTTTCCCTGAACTCAGAGAAACTGAATCCCTCCCTGTGGGCTTCCATTTTCTCACCAGCCTGCTCACTCACAGGGCTGCCTTGCAAATTAAACAAGATGATCTACTTAAAGCCTGTTATGCGTGTGTATAGAAGACACTCGACAAGTGGCAACAATCACCAGCTCTAGCATACCAGGACTGTGGAGATTCTGTTATTTAAATCTACAATATAAATTTATAGAATAAAAAGGTTTCTACCTGCTTTTTTTCTTCTGCTTGGTTTTCCTTAGGATACATGTTCAGCAGCAAATTTAGGTCCAGTTCAATGCCTGATCCTAACACAGAACGACTTTTACTGCCATCAAGCTTTCTGATAATTTCTAGGAAATGATGAAGACAAATAAAGGGGATAATTAAGAAAAACAATGTTAAAAGTTTTCACCATTACGTCCAAATGTTTTCTAACAAAATGTGATACAACCATATGAGGAAAAAACTAAGAAAACAGTTGCTACAGGAAACTTCTGTTTTTTGAAGTATCAGACATATTTTCATGAATGGACACATAGATAAAAGCAGGCTGATTTGTTTTCAACTGAGTAAATGATCCTACCAGCACTATCAGAAGATTTGCGTTGCCTGTCTATTTGGGCATCATCTATGGGCAGGTCCAGGTAACTTATAAATTCAACTTCAAGATCTGGAAACTGTGCTATGTGGTCATTGAAAAACGGGCCTTCATACACACGCCCATTCTTGAAAGTCAATCGACCCTGCAGGTAGAAAACAACATTTTGCAGTTTGGGAAATGTTTCCTTGGGGAAAAAAAAACATTGGTGGATGCACATCAAAGGCTCTTTCGAGGGTTTGGAGTTGAGGATTTTTTTGGTGTTGTTCTTGTTGTTGGTGGTGGTGGGGTTTTGTTGTTGTTGTTGTTGTTTTGTTTTGTTTTTGGTACTGGAATTGAACTAAGGGGCACTCGACCACTGAGCCACATCCCTAGCCCTACTTTGTATTGTATTGAGAGACAGGGTCTCACTGAGTTGCTTAGTGCCTCGCCGTTGCTGAGGATGGCTTTGAACTCTGGATCCTCCTGCCTCTGCCTCCTGAGCTGCCTGATGGGGCTATTTGTTTTGAAGCTGCCGCATACAGCCTGGCTCCTAGGGTATCATATCTCTGTGTAAATCCTCTTTTCTCCTCTTCTTCCTGCTGCTTCTTCCCTCCTTTACTCTTCTTTCTCTCCTCTTTCTATATCTACCCTAGAACCTCTCCCCAACTATAAGCCCATCTACATCACAGAATGGGTCTTATTAAAACTATGCACATGACCAGCAGAGTGCCCAGGGCACAAGAGGTGCTTCCTGCTGCTTGTCAAAGTTCAATTACTGATTCAGAGGTGAGCAAATGATGCAGTTCAGCTCTGTGAAATGAAAAGACATTTATAGAAGGATTTAGGGAAAAGAATTTCTTTTCTTCTACTTAGTGTGGCACATGGGTGTGAAGTCTTGAACTACAGCAGCTATCCTGCAGTCATGGGGAAGGGACAACACAAGAGTGAAGCTGACATGGGGGCAGATGATGTGGACAGACGAAAGGAAATCCTGATATCAAAAAGTCACCGAATCAAACCAACCTAAGCCCACATTCACATTAGTCTTTATTATATACGGCACATCAAACTAGATTGTCTGATACTTTGAAACCCAAACCATCCTCACACACATACACACACACATGAAACACAAACTAAATAACCTCTAAATATCCAGGAAATAGAAAACATGTCAAAAATATTTTAAAATTTATGTAACCACCTTAACAGTAAATTATCTATGCAAAATCGATAATGCAATTTACTGGCCACAAATGAGTCACGTTTTATTGCATTTCAGTTGCTCTGTGTAATGTTTTAGATATAATCTTCCCGGGACCCTCACCATGCCGTGTTTTTTATTGGAAACCCATTCTCCCGCATACATGGCTCCACTGGCGTAGTAAAACTTTCCATGTCCATGACGACATCCGTTCACAAACTCTCCTATGTATTCATTTCTTAAAGGATACTGGGAGTTGGGGATTCTCTTGAGAAACCATGTGTGTGTTCCAAAGCCATTCTGAAAAGAAAGTGAGATGCCATCAGAAATGCTCAAAAGACTTCCTCCTTTTACCTGAATTCATTTGAAATTAAGACAAATACAGTGATAACTTGGAGGACATGAACTTTGGAGCCACACAGACTAGGTTCAATATCAGCTCAACTACTTACTAACCAATCTCTTTACCTAAGACAAATTATGTAAGCCTTTAAGGGTCAATATCCATTCATAATAAAAACTGTAAGGAAATTGAGAATTAGCTGGGCATGGCAGCTAATGTATATCCAACATCTCAGGAGGCTGAGGCAGGAAGATTGTAAGTTCCAGGCTAGCCTCACCAACTTAGCAAGGCCCTAAGCAACTTAGTGAGACCCCGTCTCAAAATAAAACACAAAAAGAATTAAAATAATAAGAATTATTAAAGAGAGCTTCCTGAACCAGAAAAGGGCATCTATGAAAAATCTACAGCTAACATCAACCCTGATGAAAGACTGAATTCTTTACTAGTAGGATCAAGAATGGCATAAGGATTTCCGTACCTCTATCATACAGGATGTCCTACCCATAATACTATTGTATTATAGTAAGAGGGAAAACTCCAGACAGATTAGAAAGACGATATAAAGTTGACTGTACTTGCAAAGATGATTGCCTATATAAACACCACCAAAGAACCTACAAAAAAAGTGAAGCTATTATGTTAGTTTAACAAGATCCCCATTACCAGATTAATATATATTAGAAAATTCAAGTTTTATGAACTGATACCAAAGTTCTTCTCTTCTGTGCAGGAAATCCATCATTTGTTTCTTTCTTTCTCTTGCTTTTTCCCCAGTACTGGGGATTGAAGTCAGGGGTGCTTTACCACTGAGCCACATCCAAAGCCTTGTTTTATCTTTTTTACATTTAAAATAAATGTTTCCACTTTTCCCTTTTTTATTGGCTCTTTTTAGTTATACATAACATTAGGATTCATTTTGACATAACTAAAAAAGCACGGAATATAATTTGTTCTAATTCAGTCACTAGTCCTTCCTTTTCTCTCCTCTTCTCCCCCCGGTTCCCTTCCCCTCCACTGATCTTTCTGCTATTTTTAGTTGTTTGGGTTTTTTAAATTTTTTTTTCCAAATATTTATTTTTTAGTTTTTCACAATATCTTTATTTTGTTTTTATGTGGTGCTGAGAATCGAACCCAGTGCTTCACACATGCTAGGCAAGCGCACTACCACTTGAGCCACATACCCAGCCCCTGTTTGGGGGTTTTTTATTTTTGTTTTTAGTTACTACTTTATGGATGTACATGATGATGATATTCACTAAGTTATATTCATATGTGCACACAGGAAAGTTAGGTCAGATTTATTCTTCCCTTAACCCTCCTTTCTTCCTCTTCCTCAATTCCCTGCATCTTTATTTTTATTTATTTTCTCGGGGAACTACCGAGGATTGAACTCAGGGGAACTAACTCACCCACTGAGCCACCTCCCCAGGCCTATTTTATATTTTATTTAGAGACAGGTCTCACTGAATTGCTTAGCACCTCACTTTTGCTGAGGCTGGCTTTGACGTGCAATCCTCTTGTCTCAGACTCCTGAGCCACTAGGATTACAGGCATGTGCCACTGCGCCTGGCTGATCTTTTATTTTGGTGGAATACCTCCGTTTCCCTTCTTCTCTTCCCTCCTCCCCTTATTTTGGACAGGCTTCTGCAGACCAGAGGAAACATTCGACCCTTGACTTTATGAATCTGGCTTATTTCACTTAGCATCTTGTCCTCCATTCCATCCATTTACCAGCAAATGCCTTAATTTCATTCTTCTTTATGGCTATATCCATTGTGTATATGTACATTTTCTTTATCCATTCATCTGTTGATCTCACAATTTGGCTATTATGAATTGTGCTACTACAAACACTGATGTGGCCATATCACTATAGTATGCTGATCTTAGATATTTTGAATATGTACCAAAGAGTGGGATAGCTGGGTCATATGGTAGAGATTTTTGAGGAATATGCATATTTCTTTCCAGAGTGGTTGTACTAATTTGCAGTCCCTCCAACAATGTATGAGTGTAACTTTTTCTCATATCCTTGCCAACACATTATTACTTGTATTCTTTTTTTTTTTTTTTTTTTTTTTGGTACCAGGGATTTAATCCAGAGGCACTTTACCACTGAGCCATATCCTCAGCCCTTTTTATTTATTTATTTAAAATAGTCAATGGACCTTTATTTTTATTTATTTATTAAAATATTTATTCTTAAGTTTTTTTTTTTTTAAGGTGGATACAACGTCTTTATTTTACATTTATGTGGTGCTGAGGGTTGAACCCAGTGCCTCGTGCATGCTAGGCGAGCACTCTACCACTGAGCCACAACCCCAGCCTCTATTTTATTTATTTATTTATATGTGGTGCCAAGAATCAAACCCAGTGCCTCACACATGCCAGACAAGCACTGTACCACTGAGCCACAACCCCAGTCCTTTTTATTTTTGAGAAAGGATCTCACTAACTTGCTTAGGGCTTCACTTAATTGCTGAGGCTGGCCTGGAACTTGTGATCCTCTTAGCTCAGCCTCCCAAGTCACTTGCATTACAAGAATGTGCCACTGTGCCTGGCTACTGGTATTCTTGATAACTGACATTCTAATTGGAATGAGATGAAACCTCAGTGTAGTTTTTGATTAGCATTTCCCTGAATGCTAGAGATGTTGAACGTTTTTCCATATATTTTTTTGTCATTTGTATTTCTTCTTTTGAGAAGTGTCTTGTTTAGTCCTTTTGCCCATTTACTAATTGGGTTATTTGGTGTGGTAAGTTTCTTGAGTTCATTATATATTCTGGATATTAGTCCCTATCTGAGGAGTAGGTAGCAAAGATCTTTTCTCATTCTTTAGGTTCTTTCTTCACACTTTGCTGTGCAGAAGCTTTTTAATTTGATGCCATCCCATTTATTGATTTTGGGGGTTGTTTCTCGTGCTTTAGGAGTCTTCGTAAAGAAGTCAAGCCCTGTGCCAACATGTTGGGAGTGTCGGGCCTATGTTTTCTTCTAGCAGTTGCAGAGTTTCTGGTCTAATTCCTAAGGGGATCAAAGTTGACTTCTGTGCAGGGTGAAAGACAAGGGTCAAGTTCCATTCTTCTATATATGGCCCTTTTTATTTTTTATTTCAAGACAGAGTCTCATTAAGTTGCCCAAGCTGAACTTGAACTTGCAATCCTCCTGCCTCAGCCTCACAAATTGCTGGGATGACAGGGATGTGTTACCACATCTGGCTGAAAATCCAACATTTCTAAAGTACAAATAATAGTCCCTGCCCTTACAGGAGCCACCTGAATTTATGAAGTTGCCAATGGCAGAATCTAGCTTGTGTATGACACTATTAGAGAACACTAAATAATAAAACAGCAATTAAAAAAAATACAGTTGAGACCAGTAAAGAATATTTTGAGTTTCTAAATTCAGCAGAGCTTAAATTTTAGACTATTGAACAATATCATTCAAATACCAGGGCTAAGGATGAGTACAGCATCGCTGTGGGTGTGCCACGCCAAGATGGCCCAGTCCTACCTGGACTCCCCTCTCCCAGGAGCCGGTATACTCCTCATTTGTTGTCAGCCATCTCATCTTGCCTTCCCCGTGGCGCATATTGTCTTCCCACTGGCCTTCATATATGTTTCCAGATTTGTAACTGGAACAAAATAAACCAACAGGCAGCAAGCAGTGACAGAAATCCAGCCCTGGGACCCCAACACTCTTCACTGTGCTGAAGTCCAGCAGGTGGGCATGTGGTCAGTAAAAATTATCATCTTAGGGAGCAGAATAAATCACTTTAATAAGCCCACTGATATTAAGGTGACAAAGTAGGTAAGAAATAATTCACTATCATATGATGACTAGTTAATATTTGTGCCTAAATATTTTAATAAAACATTAAAAATCCTTTTAGTAAAATATTAGATTCTACATCTGAATCCAAAATCAAGCAAATGTGTCATCATTCTTCAGAAAACATACAACAAATAATGAAGACTGATGATTAATACAAAGAACATAGAAAGGCAGTTTCTACCTAAACTGAATCAGTATGTTTAATGTTATTTTTCTAAAATTTTTATGGAATGTTTTCTTCACTTTGGAGATTAATTTAAATATTCCACCTGCTTTGACAGAAAATGTATCCTCTATAATTTCTGCACCTTATCTGTAGGCTAAGTGAGAGTTATTTGGGCCCACACACACTTTTTCACCTACACCCCAAACATGGCAGTGATCATACCTACCATCTTATTCCCCAGCCCTTTTTGATGTTGTAGACCCAATCTCCCTCGTACCAAGAGGTACCCTCCTGATTGTAATAAATGGAGCCCTAAAACGAAAAATCCAAGCTTCATAACATACTTTTTTAAATGTAAAAATAAAAAATATATAAACTTATAAAACTACACAGAAGACAATGTCACACTTCACATGAGACACAGAAGCTATTAAGTTTCTATTTTACAATCACAAAAATGGCACAGCAAGGGCGAATGAGATATCACAAACCAATTATCCCTTAATAACAAAGTGCCACATTAAGGCAGGAATGAGTGCACTCATTGTATTCATTAACTCTTAGTCACAGCCCTGGAGAACCCCATTTTTTTGGTGCACCTTCCTCATAACTGGAGGTCACTCTTTCACAAACCAAAGCCATTTTGTTTTATCCATTTTGACATCTTACCCATTTTGTTGCCTCTGTGTATGAGCAACATGCAGTAAGCTTCCTTTGATGATTCCTTCAAGGCAATGGTTCATGCCACTCTGCAGTGTGTTTGGATCTATGCTGAATGGCCTCTAGTTACCTCGTGGCTATTTATCCCTGAGTGTGTGTCCAATCATGCACACACGTGTACCGATACACACAAGCAATTTTTATTTTTAGTTGTAGATGGACACAATACCTTTATTTTATTTATTTATTTATTTATTTATATTTAAAATTTTTATTTATTTTTTTTAGTCATACATGACAGTAGAATGCATTTTGATATATAATACATACATGGAATGTACATACATCAATCTTATTGTCTATTCTATTCTGCTGCCCTTCCTATCCTCCCCACTCCTCCCCTCCTCTCCATCCTTTCTCTCTATCCAATCTAATGTGACACACTTTTTTTTTCTTTTTCTCATTACAACATCATATATGTATTCTGTATAACAACGAGGTTCTCCTTCCATCTTCTGTGCAACTCCCCTTCTCCCTCTTTTTCCCTCCCACCTCTCTTCTCTATTTAGTGGTAGTCTTCTTCTCATGCTCTTCCTCCCTATCCCATTTTGAGTCACCCCCCTTATATACTTACAGGGACACAGCCACATCAATGTTTATAGCAGCACAATTCACAACAGCTAGAATGTGGCACCAACCTAGATGCCCTTCAATAGATGAATGGATTTTAAAAATGTGGCATTTTTACACAATGGAATATTACTCAGCACTAAAAAATAATAAAATCATGACATTTGCAGGCAAATGGATGACATTAGAGCAGATTATGCTAAGTGAAGTTAGCCAATGCCTAAAAAACAAATGCCGAATGTCTTCTATTTTATTTATTTTTATGTGGTGCTGAGGATGGAACCCAGTGCTTCACACATGCTAGGCAAATGTTCAAGCCCTGAGCCAAACTCCAGCCCTCTCTTTTATTTATTTATTTATTTTGGTACTTGGGATTGAACCCAGGGATACTTTGCCACTGAACCACATCCCCAGCCTTCTTTTTTTATTTTGAGACTAAATTGCTGAGGGTCTCAATAAGATGCTGAGGTCTAAGTTGCTAAAGTTGGGCTCTGACATGTGATCTTCCTACCTCAGACTCCTGAGTTGCTAATTATAGACCTGTATATACAAGCCCAGCAATTTTTTTTTTTAATCTTCATTATCCAGCTACCTTGCTCCTTCTTGAAGCCATCCAGGTGCTTCTGACTAGAAGTCACTATCTCCAAATCTCCAGTCTCAACTGACTTGCTATGAGCTTAAGAAATACCCATAACATCACATAAGAGAAAGAAAAGCCTGAACAGAGCAGGAGGGCTGAGGTGGAATTTTGAGAGCCTGTGAGGGAAAGCCAGGTGCCAGGTGTCGCGTGGATGCAGCCATGCAGCCCTGGCTCACCCCCTCCCCCTCCCTACTCTCCTGGTCTGTGTCCCTTAAGGAAGAAGGTTGGACTAGATCCCTAATCCCTCTCAAACTCACTCTGTTTTGCTTTTGGGTTTTTTGTTTATTTGAAGTGCTGGGGATCAAAGCCAGGGCCTTGAACATTTGAAGCAAGTATTCTACTGCTGAACTACATCTCCAGCCCCATTTTCAACTTAAAACCTAGATATTCCTTTGTGCATGGACTTTGCAAGGCCTTTGGGGGAACTTCCAGTAGTTGGCACATGTCTCATGGAAGGACTTCTTCGGTTTTAGTCCATCTGGTTGTTCCACTTAAAAGGAAAACAGTAGACAGACCAGGCCCCTTCTGGAAGCAGGCCAGAAGCTGGAATTTAATTATCGGTGTTGTTCAGATAAAAAGACTCATAGAGCCAGAATTCTCCAAGGTTTCTCAGAGCTGTTCACAGATCTGCTTCTGTGCTCTGCTTTTTCATATAGCACTACTTGAAGGACCGGCACTGATTTCTGTGGAGCTTCTAAATAATGTGCCAAACTCATTACATTTACTTCTATGGGTCTTAAAATAAACCAGGGTATTTGCCTTATCTTAGTAGGCAGTCATAAAATATAAGAAGGAAAAGGAAGGGGCTGGGGCTGGGGCTCAGCGGTAGAGCGCTCGCCTAGCACATATGAGGTCTTTGGTTCAATCCTCAGCACCACATAAAAATAAAAAAATAAAGGTGTTGTGTCCAACTACAACTAAAAAATAAATATTAAAAAAAAGAAGGAAGGAAGGAAAAGAAAAGGAAATAACAAGAGTCTCCCATTGTTTAAGAAACCATGGGTGAATGTTGTACGATCAAGGACTTGGGAATAATACCCTCTCAAATTACATTTTCCAACCTATTAATGTTCAGCTAGTGAGGATTATAATGGTACACTTTTCTTACATATTTTCTAAAAACTACAAGATTTTAAAATTCTATAAATTGCTGAATTTTATCAACCTATACAAAAGCAAAACAATAATTCCAAAAATAGCAAACGTAGTTAAAAATGAATATGCTCTGCATTGCTGTTGGAGGTATAAAGGGTGCAGCTGTTGTGGAAAACAGTTTGGTGGTTCCTTAAAACATTAAACATAAAGTTACCATATGACCTAGCAACTCCACTTTTGGGTAAATGCCCCCCAAAATTGAATATGAGTACTCAAATCCATCCACATATATTCACAGCTGCATTGTTCATAATAGTCAAGATGAAAACAGCCCAAATGTCCATCAACAGATGAATGGACACATTATGATCAATACTTATAATGGAAGATTACTCAGCCATAACAGAATGAAGTACTGCCACATGCTAGGACATGGATGAACCTCAAAAACATGCCAAGTGAAAGCAGCCTGACACAAAGGTCACGTCATATGATTCCATTTATATAAAATGTCCAGCAAACCCATAGTAACAGAAAGCAGATGAGGGACTACAAGGGTACATGGAAAGGCAGCAATGGGGAGCAACTACCTAATGGGCAAGGGATTTTATTTTTGGGTGATGAAAATGTTTGAGACTACACAGTGGTGATGGTTGCATAACATTACGAATGGACTTAGTGACACCGAACTGTGACTTTAAAATGGTTAATTTTATGTCATGTGAACACCCCCAACACTTCCCACCCACCATGTCTGCACAGCCTGTGCACAGATGGTACCTCCACCCACCTTCCCGTGTCTCTTGCCTTGGCACCAGTGGCCGACGTAGGACACAGGCTGTGTGCTGCACTTGAACATCCCAAATCCGTTCCTCATGCCATTCACCACTTCCCCTTCATACATGCTGCCATCTGGCCAAGTGTACACGCCATGGTTCATAGGAATGTTCTTCACAAAATCCCCCTAAGGCAAAATGTCTGTAAGGGGGATGAGAAGGCGGAGTGCAGGGCCCTCTTATCCTATGGGCTGTTGGAGACCAAACCCCTGATGCTGCCCCTGCCCCTCTTCCATGGGAAGCTGGACATGCCTCTAGCTTCCTCTCTTCTCCCTCCTCTGCATTCCCTGTTCTCTCTCACCTGATCCTCCTCTGCAAGGAAGTGCAGGGAGAATAAAGTATGAGGAAGGCTGTGTAGACAAAGCTCCAGGGGGTGAGCAGGTGATATGGTAAAGAGGCAGCTGCCAGCCCTGACCTTGGGACTTCAGATTCTTTACGCCTGCCTAGAAGTAGGTTCATTCCCTGTTCTCTCCAGATGTGACGCAGTGATTGACCACCAGTGGAAACTCCTCCTTCTATCTGTGGTCATCACAATATACTGCAGCACATCTTTAGAGACTCTGCCCTGCATGGACTGGGATGTCTGCTGGGCACAGTACTATTCACCATGGCTTAGGCCAACAGATTCTCTTCCAGGAATCTGAACTTACTGGATGTTGCCATCAGCGAGGAGAGAACACAGTGCTGCCTGATTGGCCACTAGCCAGATGCTACTGCCTGGTCTCCCTGCCTGAGGAGCTCTAGTGAGAGCCCCAACCCCACCCACAAAGACATCTGACTGGGCTGATGCAGGGGTCTGTGCCTGGAAGGAGGAGTCCTTAACCCCTGAGAATTTCCAGAGGCAATGAAGCAGAGGGGTCTCCATGCCAAATTACCATTTGAATCAAAAATCTTGAATGTTGGCCACGAACTAGAGGTGGATGTCTGTAGGAATGGAGTCCCCCCCAGAAAGGCTGGCCCCAGACCAATAAGGTTGAACCCCTCCTTTGCTCTCCTTGCACCTCTGCAGCCTGCCTCCCACCATTCAGCTCCTGCCTAAATGTGACTGTTTCTGTCCTTGATTAGCTCTTATTTGAATAAGTGCATCACATGCCTGTATTTTAAATGTCTTCATTACCATTTATAAACACCACTGTGTTAGTAGCTCTGAAATGGAGATTTTTAGAGCAGCAGTTTGGGCACTCACACTTTGTGGGTGGGAGTCAGAACTGGCACACTCTCTTGGAGAACAAATCTGTCCTAGCAGTCAATTTAAAAATACATATTCCCCACAGCCTGGCAAGTTGGGTTAAGTAAAATCCAGATAGTGGAATACATGTAGCCAGTAAAAATAGACCTAGATGTCTGGATATTGTTTGCTCACTAAAAAATAAAGTCATAGAAGAGAATGTATAATAAACTCTGTATTTGTAAAAAGTAGGAGGGAATAAATACATATGTGTTCTGTACATGAAAAGAACACATAAAATACCTCTAGAGCTACAAACAGATCCAGTTATAACAATTCCTGGCACCATGCAGTCATTAAGTTACTCTACCCTTTGATTCTGTGTATTGTTTTAAATTTGTGCTAAATTACTTTATGAAAATAATATGTCTAGTTGTGGGGGCATGATTGTGAAATTTCATAATTGCACTTTAGAACTGTAATTATCATATGCTTTACCTCATACTTCAATCCGTCAGCCCAAATGTAAGTCCCTTGTCCATGCATGAATCCTTCTGAAAACATACCCTTCAAAACAAAATAACAGCAAACCCTCAGAATGAAACTTGGTTTTAAGCACCTACTACACAGGCACAGTTACTTAGAGCGGAGCCTTGTCACTCTCTCCCTGTAGGAACATGCCGGCATCACAGCAGCAACATGAGAGCCGGGGTCTGAGCCAACATGGCATGGGGGTCCACCCTGTCCTAAAAGGGATCTAAAGAGGGATCCCCAAATACCCAGTTCTCTAAAATGTACACCAGGCAATCTGAGTGTCCCTCGCCTGAGTAAGTTGCTAGAAAACAGTATAGTTCAAAACAATTCAAAATTTTTGGTTTTATCACCCAAAATTTTAAAATTTTTTAAAAATTATTTTAACTAGGTAGACAATTACAACCATCATCTGAATATCAGACATTATTACATTCATAAATTTTATGCTCTTGCCCGTTTTCCTTTACTGGGAATCACCAATGTGTGTCCTGAGCCACATATATGTATACATATACTGTCCCTCAGTATCCATGGGGGTTTGGTTCCTGTGACCTTGCTGCTCTGCCACTGCAGCTTATATTAAAACTGAGAGTTTTTTTTCCTTTCTTCTTCTCCCTCTTTCCCCTCCCTAAGAGAAAATAAGATTATGCTTTTTCCCATCCTAGATCACATTATCTGTCTTTGAGTACACACACTAGAGGAATAAAGTAATTCAGACCTTGAGACTGACCTGGACAAGATGATCTAAGACACAGCTACCTCTCAGGGCCAAAAGTAGATTATAATCCCTGACAGGACACACCTAGAATGGAACCTTTAAATTACCTCTTTAAAAACCCTCAGTTTCCCCTGAGGGGGAGATTCACAACTTCAAGAACAAAAGTCCTCTGTGTTTCTCCTTTACTAGCAGAGAAATAAAACTTTATTTTCCTCAAAACCTTGTCTTCATTATTATATTGGCACTGTGGACAAAGACCAAGCTTTTGGTAATACCAGGACCAAAGTCCTTCATATAAAATTATAGAGTATGTACTGTGATCTAACCACACCCTCTATACATTTTATTTACTTGGTGCTGAGGATTAAACCAAGGGCCTCATGTATACTAAGCCTGAGCTCAATCACTGAACTATGTCTCAACCTCCTTCTATATATTTTAAATAATCTCTAGATTACTGATAATACCTAATGCAATGTAAATGCTAAGTGACCAGCTATTATACTCTATTACTTAGGAAACAATGACAAGAAAAATATCTATACATGCTCAATACAGACACAATTTTTTTCCAGAATACTTTCCATCTGTGGTTGACTAAATATGTGGATGCAGACCCCATGAACATGGCGGGCCAGCTATAGCACTGCTAGTATAGTCTAATGTTGACACATAAGAATAGTCACAAAAAACAACATAGCTGAATGTCTAAGTGCAATCAGAGTAAACAATGATAAAATTACACCCAGACCCTTCTGAAAATCATCTAGTCAGAGGCCAGGTAGGTGAAGGGAGCCTAAACAAAGAGTGTCTGCACAAAACAGAACTCGAGGTTCTCAGACACTGCTATGTATGAATGGGGGTTACCTGCAGGCTTGTTAAAATGCAGATTGCTGGACACACTTGGGGCTCCCACTCCACTTCTCAGCAGGTCCGAGTGGAGCCCCAGAATGTGCATTTCTAAAACATTCCCAGGTGATGCATGTGCTGCAGTTGGGACCACACTTTGAGAACTAATGCCCTAACCTGGCCAGCAAGAATCCATTTCAGAATCAATCCAGGTTAACTCACCACAGACAGGGCTGGCAGGCAGGAGTGCAGCCCAGAAATGTCATACTGCAGTCTATGATCCTGTTTTGTCCTATGGAATCAATTCAATGTGTCACACCGGCCAGCATTTTTACTTTAAAAAACTAAAAAATAATCAGCCCGTATTCACATACTAAGGGTGCTGTTTTCTAGAATGCTGGCTTTCACTATCTTTACACACATACTCACACATGTACACTAGGAATTGTGATCTGAAAATGTGACAAAGCCTGATCTCACCCACCTGAAGCCTGGGGCTGAGTCTCTGGGTCTATCCCTTACCTGGAAAGAACTTAATGGTAACACCGCTCTCAGGCCTCAGGGATTCAATGTTCTAGGAATTGAAAATCTCTATTGATGCATGAAACATGAGCCACCTTGATGCAAACCAAAACAGAGGGGGGCAAGTCACTGCACTGCTCTCAGTATGTTTTTAGGGGTGGCTTAAACTAATCCAAGAGCAAAAATCTAACTAGAAACTCACATTGCTAAAAACATTTTTTTTTTTTTAGGGCTAAGTGTAGCTCAGTGATAGAACATTTGCCTAGCATGTGAAAGGCCCTGGGTTTACTCTCTAGCCCCATAAGTAATAATAATTATTTTTTTTAAGTTGGGTTGTTGACCTGTAGTCCTAACTATCCAGGAGGCTGCAGCAGGAGGATTATTTGAGCCCAGGAGTTTGGGGTCAGTCTGGGCAACATAGTGAGACTCCATCTCAAAAACAAAAACAAACAGAAAACAATTTAAAGAAAATCCAGCAATGATTGCTTTTTGTCAAAATCATTTGGGTCTTGGGAAAACATGGCAAGTTTACAAATCAAGTAGCTGGCAGTGCAGGCCGAGGAAATGGAGAGTGTTTCTTCCCCCCTCAGTGGAAGGACAGGGAAGGAAGCCAGCTTTCACAGCAGAAGGCAGCCATGCTCTTTGCACACACCTAGTAATAGACTAAGAGCACCTGGGACAGAAAGGGCAGTCACAGGGCAAAGTGGCTCATGCCTACAATCCCAGCAGCTGGAGAGGCTGAGGCAGGAGGATCAAAGTTCAAAGTCAGCTTTAGCAACTTAGCAAGGCCCTAGGCAACTCAGCGAGACCGTTTCTAGATGATATAAAAAAATGGGGGGCCAGGGGATGTGGCTGAGTGATTAAGCATCCTTGGGTTTAATCCCTGGTACCAAAAAAATGAAAGAAAGAAAGAAGGAAAGAAGGGCAGTCTCATTCCTCCCAGCAAAGAGGTCTAGTCTAGGATAGCCCCTAGGTGTGAGCTGAAGCAGGGATGGAGCAGGAGTGTGAATTGCTAGATAAACAATGCTGCAAAAGGCCTGCAGAGACAGGTGTGGTGGAGCACACCTGCAATCCTAGCGCCTCAGAAGGCTGAAGCAGGAGGATTGTGAGTTCCAAGCTTGCCTAAACAACTCGGCAAGGCCCTGTCTCAAAATAAAATAAAAAAAAAGATCTTCGGATGTGGCTCAGTGGGTAAGCCACCCTAGGTTCAATCCCTAGTACCAAAAGAAAAAAAAAAAAAAAAGTCTGCAGAGGAGAGAAGACCCTGACCAAAATAAGTGAAGCCCTGTGGATACCAGGAGGCAGACACAGGCCAGAGGGGGCAATCATTTAGTGAAGAGTATTCAGTCATGAAAAGGTGCTCCTGAATAGCTTTTATGACAAAGGAAAATAAACACAAATGTTAAAGGGGAAAAAAATCAAGGTACTAACACTCAAACTTTCTGGCCTCAGCTACGGAAATTTGTTCTCCTATAATAAGCGTACATTTTTTTTTTAATGTCTGGTAACATTTAAAAAAAAAATTTTATAGTTGTAGATGGACAGTATACATTTATTTTATTTGTTCATTTTTATGTGGTGCTGAGGATGAACCCATGCTAGGTAAGTGCTCTGCCACTGAGTTACAGCCCCAGCCCCAGCACATATTTCTATTACCATGTGAATGAATAGATAAATATCTTCATTGTGGTGTTATTGCAAAGGAAAAAAGCAAAAGCTCTCCAAAAGTATCCAACAACTATGTAATTAGTTATGACTAGCAAATTAGAACACTACGCAATATCAAAAACAACAGGAGGATGGGGATTTAGTGCTTAATGGGTACAGTCTCAGTGTCATTTTGGAATGACAAAAAAGATCTAGAGGTGGGTGATAATGATAGTTGCATAACAATATGAATGTACTTAATGCCACTTAAAATAATGCTATGTATATTTCACAGTAAAACCATTTATGAAAACCATGCAGCAAGCTGAGCATGGTGGTGCACACCTATAACCCCAGTAACTCAGGAGGCTGAGGCAGGAAGATCACAAGTTCAAAGCCAGCCTTGGCAACTTAGCAAGACCCTGTCTCAAAATAAAAAATAAAAAGGGCTGGGGATGTAGCTCAGTGGTTAAGCAACCTTAGGTTAAATCCCCAGGACCAAAAGAAAGAAAAAAGAAAACCATGCAGAAATAGATTCACAAATGAAAAAGAAAATTCAAAATGTTACCAATGAAAGTAATATGCCACATAAAAATAATGATATATCCATTAATAGAAACATGGCAAATGGAAAACATTCATGGCAAAATGATGGAAATACTGAGATTTTATTCTTCATCACAATTGGCCTCTATATCCATGGCTTCCAAGTCTGTAAATGGAACTGACCTCAGATGGATATCTACTATGCTGACATCTACTATGTAGCCAGGCCTACTGTGGTTGCACCTGTACTAAAGACACATCTTTTTTCTTGTCACTCTTCCCTAAATGATACAGTATAACATCCATTTACCTAACATTTATGTTACATATTGTAAGTCATCTAGACATGATTTAAAGTATCTGAGTGTGTATATATATGCAAATACTATTTTATATAAGGGATCTGAGCATTCCAGGATTTGGGTATCTGAGGGGATCTGGAACCAATCCTCCATGATAACCAAGGGACAACTGTTTTTGCTTTAATGATATTCTTAGAACAACAGATAAAAATCAGAGGGAAAAAAAAATCTAAAGTGACCATTTCAGTTACCCCGGGCCACATTTTTACCTTAAAAATGTAGCATAGATTCAGGCTAAAATCAGCATGAAGTATTTCCAATTTCTTTTGAAGAATCAATGGATCTTTGGGAAACCTTGCAAATTAAAACATATGACCTCACACCTTCCTCCTCACCCTGCAAGTTCCAGCAGAGACTCACATGGTAGGTACAACCACCTTGAAAGACTGCAGAGCCTTCTCCTTCGTACAGTCCTCGGACTTTCTCTCCTTCATAGCTACAAAGAAATAAAGCTCAAAGTAATGAGTGATGTGAATAAACCTACATGACAGTGGGTTAAATTGTATAGTTGAAATATACAGTAGAGGTTACCAGGGGCTTGGGGAGGAGTGGGGAACATGGGCTTAGTGTTAAATGGATATTTGGGAAGATGAACAAGTTCTGGAAATAGAGCCAGATGATGTAACTGTACTTAATGAAATTTAAACACTGTAACTGTACTTAATGCCATTGAATTATACACTTTATATGGTCAAAACTGTAAATTTTATATTATGTATACTTTACCATAATAAAAATGTTTAAAATTTAAAAAGCAAAAAGACCTATTCTGGACATGGATACAACAGAGTGTGCTGATGAGATAGCTTTGGGAAAGGGAGGTTTTAAGAATAGTGCCCAGATTTTTAGTTCAGAACCAAAAGGATAATGTGTGATTTGTCACACAGTTCACCTGGGGTAAATGAGAAGAAAACAAATGAGCCTGTGATGGGTGTGACCAAATTTGATTTCTTCCAAGAATCCAAGGAAATTAAACTTCAGAAAAATTTATGAACATAATTCAATACATCAGCAAACTAAAAAGAAAACCCAAACATTTGATAAATTTTAGCAATTATTTCTAAAAATTATTCTAACATAATATGAGAAAGCTACTTAAACATAATAGACCAATGAAAAAATAATAGCATGCATGATTTTTAAGAGATGAGAAACAATTCCAATTCAGGAACATGAACAAGATTCCAGTTTGTTTGTTTGTTTTTAAACTCAGGGGCACTCTACCACTGAGCCACACCCTCAGCCTTAGTGTGTACTTTATTTAGAGATAGGATCTCACTGAGTTGCTTAGCACCTTGCCATTGCTGAGGCTGGCCTCAAACTTGCAATCCTCCTGCCTCTGCCTCTCAATCCGCTGGGACTACAGGAGTGTGCTACTATGCCCAGCAAGATGCCAGCTTTTACCACCAATTATTCAATACCCATTTTAGAATTTCTAGTTAATGCAAAAGTTAAGAAATTTAAACAACTGATGTAAATGCTGAAGAAATACAAAATAGAAAATTATGTGATTATTTACCTATAAAATCCAAATGACTTTATGGTAATAAATGAGAGCAGGAGGGGTGTAGCTCAGTGATAGAGCACTTGCCCAGCACACAGAAGGCCCTGGGTTCCATCCCCAAAACAAAACTCAAAAAAAAAAAAAAAAAAACAACCCATAATTAACAAGAGTGGTAGGAAGAAGAGAATTGGAATAGGGTGGAAGGGGACAATTAACTTTTTATCATATACTGAATTATTTCACTTGTCATAAGAAGCATACATAGCTTCAGGAATTAACAACAATAAATTTAAAAAATATATAAAGGATTTGGAAGAGTTCCTAACAGCCCCATATGGTGGTATCAAGGACACCTCCCCTGGCTCCCAGAGCACACATATATCCAGGAGCTCTGGTTGGGAGCCTCCCGCTGCTGTGTCAGGACACTCTATCCTACTGCTCCTGTCTCAAGGTAATTGCAGGCCCCACCTTCCCAAACCAACTCAGTACACACTGCTCTGAGCTTCTCTCAAAAGAGCCCACCAGAGAACACAATCCTGCACTGCCTACACTGACTATGTTCAATACTTTTTAATATCCCTCTAGAGTGCTCAGCTATAGCTGGGAGTGGGCACACAGTGGAGAGTAAACAGCTGCTGGCATCATGCAGATTGTGAATCTTGACTGAGCACCTACCGGGCCTGAGGCCAGGTATGTGAAGTTCTGGTTACATCTCAGCTCCTGAGTAATTTAACCAGGCAGAGAAGCTGAGGGCGAATAAGCCAATTACAATGACACATACATCATATGTATGCATGTATTGAAAAGTAGTAAGTACAGTGATACATAACAGAAAATAGTAACTATGATTAAAGGACTTTAAATTTCAAAGGGCTGGGGGTGTAGCTCAGTGGCAGAGCACTTGCTTAGCATGCACAAGGCCCTAGGTTTCAACCACAGCACCAATAAACAAAAGAAGTGCTGAAAAGGTTGGCCCTTGAAGAGCAGGTGGGATTTGTTTCTGTTCCCAGAAACAAGGGAAAACACTCCAGCCAGGGCAGTTGGAGAAGCAAAAACAGAACCAAATGGAATCAGTAGGAAATTGAGGTGGACCTCCCTGTTGGGCAGGACAGGGTGAAGTGGGCCGGGGTCAGACTGTAGAGCTAAGTGGTTTCATTCTGTACTCAATGGGAAGAAACTCAAGAGATAGTAAGGAAGAGGAATTTAGTGTCTGGACTCCACATAGCTCATGATTCTCACCTTGTATTCATACCCACATGGAATACCAGTGACCTATGTGACCACTAGGCTATTACAGAGAGCAAGAGGGTGATTTCTGAGACTGGGTCTTGGAATGTGTAGCTTCTGCCTTTAGATCCCTCTCTCTAGGGAAAACCAGGTGCCATGTCAGGGACTCAGAGGCCCTACAGAGAATGGACCATATAATCAGGAAATGAGGTCAGGCCTCTTGTCAACAGCCATAGGAGTGAACTCCTTTGAAAGCAGATATGTAGGCTGTCAAGCCTTCACATGACAGCATCCAGGGTCAACACCTCAACTGCAACCTCATGAGACCTCAGCTGTGGGAATCCTGAACCCAGAAACCACATGAGGTAGCTACAAGCTGCCAAGTTTGGGATATCTATTACACAGTGGTGGTTAACTAGTACAGGGAGAAATGTAGACAGCCCTGCATTAGGAAGGTAAATCTAAACAGGAGGCCTCAGGAGAGGCACTGGAAGCAGTCTAGGAAATGTCAGATCACTCTGACAAGAAGGAATAAGGTCTATGCCAAGGGAAATGACTAAGGAGAGAAGAGTGGAGGGAAAAGAAATGTGACAGGCATGGGGAGGACAGTTCTGTTGTGTTAGGCCAGGAAGATTGTGGAAGATTGTGTTGCCATTACAGAAATGGGAACAATGGAGAAGGTTACAACTAAAAGAAAGACATTCCCAGCAACCTGTTAAGGTGGGTATTCTCATATTCCCCAGTTGAGGACCTGAGGCTCAGCAAGACTCTAGGATGGATGGGGTCAATGTCACAGAGCCAATACTCAAAGCTGGACTCGTCTTAAGCCCTGCAGTCTGCACTTCGGGACTGGGGAGTTTGGAGGAAGTTAAAAATTTGAATCTGATGGGGCTGAGGTTGAGGCTCAGCGGTAGAGTGCTTGCCCAGTATGTGCGAGGCCCTGGGTTCAATCCTCCGCACCACATAAAAATAAATAAAGTAAAGGTATAAAAAATATATAAGAAAAAATTTGAATCTGAAATTCTAGAACAGAACTAAAGAAAGTAGTTTTATACAGTCATCCAGGGAGATGTTAGGTAAAGCTACAATGAGAGAAGAGATTGCCTAGAGAGGACATAAAAGTGATAGAAAAGGGATTCTGGAAAAGGCAGCCCTCAGAAACCTCAATGGGGCAAAGCCAGCACCACAAAAAGGATCACACAAAGACAGAGCCTAAAGAGTGGTTTTCAGAGGTGGGACAATTATGTGATGATCATAAAAATGTGTGAGGATTCACATGCTTGCAGTGAAGCACACTTTTGAGAAACACCTGATTCACAGCATTCAATCCTGCCCAGCCCTGTGAAAGTCACCTTTCCACTATGAGTTTGGTCAGAATGGGTTCTTCATACTGAGTGGCATCTTCACTCTGTTGAAGAGCTTTAGACTCTCTTTTGGGTAATGGTTCCTTATGTGGCAATTCCAGTGCCTGTATGCCACTTGGGGGCGGTTCTTGCCTAAGAGCACTGCCATCTTGCTTGGAAAACTCTGGAAACTCTGAGCCAGAAGAGGGAGAATGGGCTGACTTATCTCCTTTTTTGTCTGCTTTTTTCTTTTCTTTCACCATTGCCTTTGGAAGTCCTAGAGTTTATATATAAATATCCAATGGGTCCTTCAGTTGATAGCTGTTTTAAAGCCTGATGAGTTTTATCTGAAAAATAAAAATTATGCCTCTAAATACTTGGAAGTCTCACTTATAAAAACTTAGCCTTATAACAGTATCATTATCATTCTCCTAAAACCTGAGAAAATAATTACAAGTATCACCAGGTTTTTTTTAATTAAAAAAAAAAAACAAAACAATACAATCTCAACATTACACTGGTGGTTCCTGAAATTTTTAGCACTGGAACCCCAACTAACATGCTTATTTTTCTATTAGTACCGCAATAAGAAGGATAATCCTATATGCAAAAATGACTACCTGGCGGCTGGAGTGTGGCTCAGCAGTAGAGCACTTGCCTCCCACGTGTAAGGCACTGGGGTTCGATTCTCAGAACCACATAAAAGTAAATAAACAAAATAAAAATATTGCATCCATGTTTAACATTTTAAAAAATGACTACCTAACCCATAAGATCTTGCATGCTGTCAAATCATACGTTAAGAGCCCCTCTCCTAAAGTGAGCATTGTGAAGCGTTCAAGAGTTGGGGTAGGCCCTGCATCTCACTTTATCAGCTCTGTGACTTTAAGTAAGTTGCTTAATTTCCTTCTCTTGGATATCAAAAAGAAATAACAATAACTTGTCTCACCACAAAGATTAAATGAGATGATGCACAGAAAAATCTCTTACAGGATACAAAGCAGTCGATAAATGGAGTGATTATTTTAAATAGTTACTTTTCCTTTTTTGAACTTGAAATCCCTGGCTACCTACTCCTTGTAACAATATCACGTCTTACAGGCCAGAGGAGAAAATATATGCCAACAATATGTCCAAAATCTCAAGGCAGAGAAGGGCAGGGTTCCAAAGCCACAGTTTTCATTACCCTCCCAAACTGGCCCCACCAGAAACATCCTAGTCCACTAGTAAGGACACACAGACATGTCCTGGGAGTCAGGCCTCTGCTCATGCATTCTACAATGTGAGGGACTCTATCTGATGGCATCCTCTGGACCCCACTTGGCCAGTTCAATCCCACCTCCAGGCTTCTCTCTGCCTTCAAAACCCACATTGCTCTTTCCCCCGGACCCCAATTATTGCCTCAGCAAAACCATCCTCAGCAGTCCAGCCCAAACCGCTCTCATCCGGATCTTTAAAGGCTTACTATCCTCTATCAGTGAAATTCAAACTACAAATTAACTTCATTTCTCTCAGTGTTTTCTATTAAAGCCCCTCTGTCCTAGGCTTCAGCAGCAGCTTCAGCTGCAAACCCCGTTTTCTGAGCCTTGGTCCCAGCATTGCTCTGCCCTGCCTCAGGTCCCTCGCCCATCACGCACATGCTAAGATCCTAGGAGGCTGAGGAAACAGCCGGCAAGGTCCTTACACTATCACGGTACGCAGGGGTCCCTCGGGTGCTCACTGCTCAGACGCCCAGGGTGCGGTAGACCCAGAAGTGGCGCGGTCCCGGAACTAGGTCCGTCTCCGGGCAACCACGTTGCCACACACTAGGCCCCTCCCCCTTAAAGGGGCCGCCACTGCAAATCCATTGAGCAGTCCATTCTGGTCTTTAAGGCAGGAGAAAAAAGTGCTGGAGCTGGATGCATTTGCCCTGAGTTTTCCTGGCTTTGGTAAATGCCTTGCACGACTTCTTGGCTTCTCCACAGGTTTCTTCACTACGAAACAGGCATCAGTTTTCCATTGCTGCCTTTTTAAACAAATCACCACAAACTTAGTGGCTTAAAACAATAAGTTTATTATCTTACAGTTCTATAAGTTAGTCCACGAGGGCTGGTCTTTCTGGAGGTTCCAGGGAAGAATTCATTTTCTTGTCTTTTTCCAGCTTCTAGTGATGCCTTAGCTAGTGTAGCCTTCTTCCATCTTCAAAATCAGCAACACTGCATCTCACTGACCAGCTGGAGCTGGGAGGGTGGTCTCTACTCTGAAGTCTCCTGTGAGAGACTGGGCCCCCTAGACAGTACAGGCTAATCTAACTTAAAAACTCTGCAGAGTTCCTTTTGCCATGCAAGATGACATCCCACACTGTGAGGATTAGGACCCAGCCATCTTGGTGGGGCATCATAATGCCTAAAGCAATTCCCAATTTGTAGAGTTCTTGTGGATATTAAATGAGATCATGCAGAAACACAACCAGTATACAGCTTGGCACAGTGAATGCAATGACTACTGTCTGGTTACATCTGAGGAATGCTAGACTTTGGAGGCCTGCTGTCCTAAGAGGCCACTCTCTGGGGAAAGGGGTGGCAGTGCGTTGCTCATACTTGTCATCCCTGTACCCCTACCACCATTTGGAATCCATAGTAAAAGTAAAGTAAAAAAAAAAAAAAGGGCATTTTTACTTCCATTTTTGGCAACAGTTCAAATGGGGAGAGCCCATGAAGGAAACATCTGCAGTTCACACCCCAAGGAAACCAAATCACAGTATGAAGGTACAGAAATATCAAAATTTTTTCTTTCCCTCTGCCTAGAACAGCAGTTTCCAAATGCTTGCTGCACTGGGAGCACTTAAAAATAGCAACACCATCCTCATCCAGTCATTTGTTTTAGCCAAGCAGAGAATTCTCTTTGCATTTTTGTGATTAGTTCTTTTTTAAATTTAATATGCATTAGGGTTGAGAATAACTAACCCCAAAGAACCATAATCTTAAGCTAATGAATTTCAACCAAAATGAATTTAATGATCACTGAGGTGGAAAGCTGCAGACTAAAACACCTCCAGCCGAACTGAGGCCTAGGTAACTTCCAAAGTATTCTTATTTTTGTAAAATAAGTTCTTACCTGTATACACATATACATTCAAATGCAGAACAAAAAAATTTTGCAAGGAATGCTCCACATGGTTTGAAAGATTCTCAAGTCTTTTTTTTTTTTTTTTTTGGAGACAGGGTCTCAATATGTTTTCTAGGTTGGGTTGGAACTCCCAGGCTCAAGCAATCTCCTGTCTCAGCTTCCTGAGCAGTTGGGACAACAGGAGCACATCATCAACACCTGGCTTAAGATCATTTTTAAGTGGATTTGGTACAATTTTTTTAAAGTAGCAGGTTAATTTTGAAACAAAAAAGTGTTACTTAAGACCCTGTCTTTCAAAACACAAAAATCTACAATAAAATCTACAAAGAAAATGACAAGTGTCAGTTCTGAGAAATGACATCCAGATTGGCAATGTGCCTCATGGTTGGCCTTCCATGGGGACAGTTCCAGGGGTGGTCCATCTCACCCATGTGGGTAATGAGCTTCTTCATCTCGCTTGTGTTAAGAGCGGTGCCAATCATCACCTGAGAACAAGACACAATGGTTTAGAGTTTTACTGGTCTCTGTTACAATACTCTTCAGAAGCACTCTTGTCTACAATAAACTTCCCCAAAGACGCCCCCTTCTGCTATCTCAGCCCTCTGCCTTTTGGTGGGTCTAGGGCAGCTCTAGCATGGCAGCACCACCTCTCCTTGAGACACCAACCCAACCCATCCAGAATCCAACCACTCTCAGCAGCTCCACCCTGTCTGCTCCAGCCACCCTCATCTTTCACCAGGGCAACTGCAGTGGCCCTATTGTGGCACCGAAGGGAACTTCTATGCTGGAGGCAGACAAACAATAAACAAGTTAACAGAGAAGCAGGATGAGTATCACACATGGGGCTGTGCAGATGGGAGGGAGCCAGGCCACGTGAAGGGCTGAGGGGCAGACCCAGGCACAAGGAAGAGTAGAAAAAGGGATGGAGTAGAAAAAGGGATGGAGTGGAGCAGGTGGAGTGGCTGTGGAGCTAGAGAGGGCCAGCACAGCTGGAGCACAGAAGGGGCTGGAAGGATGAGCAGGGCATAGCACAGGCCTCCTGGGCAGGGAATGAAAGAAGAGAGCCCAAGGGGGTAGGCACAAGGGGCAGAGGAAGAAGAGATGCATCAGGATGCAAACCCCAGGGCAAAAATAAAGCTCATGTTCTGTGGTTCTAGGGTCTTCAGCCGTGAAGACACAGAGGTAAAGTGCCTGCCCTGCTCAGTCACTCACTCAGACTCCAGGGTTGGAAGGTCAGTGTTAGATCTTCATCAAACAAACACCTGTCAGATTCTGAGTCCTCTTCTAATTAAACTCTTCCCTGGAGTAATTTCATCCAGTCTCACAGCTATGAATTCTACCCGTCCAATCAGCAGTTCTGACACTTCCCTGGAGCCCAAGACTCACCAATGTACTGTTTTCAGACACCTGGCTTATAGAGTCACATGGGATCTCACACACAGCATGTCTACAGCAGTGCTCTTCACCCTGCCCGCTCCCTAGATGCTCTAGCCCTTCCCAAGCACTCCACCCCCATCCAATGTTCCACCCACTCCCCCGAAATTCCACCTCCTTCTTGACTCCAGACCCAGCATGCCTCACAGCTTTGCTTCCACATGTCCCTCTCAAGGCACATGGACCAGCCTCTGGACCTATTCAAACACCCTAAACCTTTGGATTTGCTATTTCTCCTAACCAGAAAGTTCTTACCCAAGGTAGCAGCTCACACAGCCATTCCCTGACTGCCCATCTCACCTGTTCACCTCATTCCTCTGGTTGTTTCCTATCCCAACACACTGTGGGAATTTCTTTACAGCACTCACATCTAAGGTGTCATGTATTTTCTCCCCATGAAACAATCAGCTCCACATGAGCAGGGACCTCACCAGCCTAGTTACCCCTGTGTCCTCACATCTGGAACAAGGTTGGCCACAAAGTGGGCTCAAGGAATATATGCTGAATAAATAAGGAATGTGACAAAGTGACAAAGCCATTTACTGGACTTGGACATCATCAGGTTAATCCCTAGCCATTGCTACTATTTCCACTACAGATCTAGGCAACAGCAGGGACACAACACTGGCCACTGTGGAACACCTGTGACTCAATGACTCCACAGGAGCATAGATGGCATGGTTTTGGCCTGGCAGCAGCAAACCTTTCTCAACCAAAGTTGCTGTTGCTGTTACCCACAAGGACCATGGACAGGCAAGGTGCATGCAGAGCTGACCATGCTAGGGCCAACAAAAGCCCCAAGGTGGAATACTGCTTAACTATGTGGAAAAAGGGCAACAGGCGTGAATTAGAGGACAAAGATAACACAGACCTGCTGGCTGGTATGTTGTACTAATAGAGATGATCTGACTCTTGGCATAACATGTTCTGTGGCGATCATGAAGACATTCAACAACACTGACCCAATCAGGAGCTGAACTGAGAACTTCCTAAGACCCCAGGCATGAGCAGACCCACCATGCCCCACAGTGGGGCTTTCTATACTTACAGACTTCCGACAGGCTCTGGAGGCAAACATCTGCCTGACTCGGGATGGCCGGCACATGACCCCAGGGCTGTCACTCAGCATAAAGATCAGCTCATCTATATCTTGGGGTCCAAAAGTCCAGTTTTTACTGGTTGGCAAAGAAATCAACTTAGCTCTTTCGGTGACTGGAGCTAAAAGAATAAAAGTTTGAGAAAAATCCATTATTTGAGAAATATCTATTATTTGAGTACTACTGCAAAGGAACATCTGAAGACACAAAATGCTTCTTGGGAAGCCTTTGCACCTTTTACAAAATAAATAAACTGATTAAATAATGTCAAAGACTGTTCCCAGCTCTTAAAAAAATACCACAATTTGATAGTCATGATTACTAACTTACCATCTTCATCAATGACAAAATCAAAGCCATTCTTTCTGAATATTTCCAGATTTTCTATCAGGACAGCTTCATTGACAGCAGTTAAGTTGAGGGTCTGAGGTCTGAAAAACAGGAGATTCACACTGTAACTTGACATCAACATTTACCCATAAAGCAGAAATGAAAGTGAAACATTAAGCTGGATGTGGTTGCATGCCTGAAATCCCAGCGGCTCAGGAGGCTGAGGCAGAAGGATCACAAGTTCAAAGCCAGCCTCAGCACTAAGCAACTCAGTGAGACCCTGTCTCTAAATAAAATACAAAATAGGGCTGGGGATGTGGCTCAGTGGTCAAGTTCAATCCCTAGTACCAAAAAAAAAAAGAAAGTGAAACATTAATATTATATACTAACTTTCAAAAAATGATATAACATTATTCAGCTTTGGACCTTTCCACTATTCATCACAAAAACCTCCTGCACTATTTCTTTTAGTTTTCTTTTTCTTATAAAGTTCATATTAAAATTTAATGTGAAAAGTAGTTTGCTTTCTCCTCAATCTGCCATCCTATCCCAGGGACCAGGTCTTTTTTCAGATCTTCTCCTTAAGGATAAAACTATGCCAACATTTCCACTTCACAATAAAGATCATTTGAAAACAATGAACATGAACAAGAATTTTGCTATCCTGCTCCCTCCTCTGCCTACATTTCTTATCCACTCATCTCTCCTAATGGATTCATAATAAGACAACACTACTGAACACAGGAAATAGTCTGGTGAGCAAACAGAGACTAGGTCTCTGTCTTATATTAGTGAGGAAGAAAGACACTAAACAGACAGTCAAATCAATTATAACTACAAACAACAGTGAGATAGGGAAGAAAAGACATCCAGTGCCATAAGAGCATACAGCAAGTGGGCCTTGGCTCTAAGGTCAGGGGAAAAGCTGAGCTATAAGGACAAGGAGGGCAAATCAGGTAAAGGGAGAGAGGTAGGTATG